TAGTTCTGGCCACAGTTGAGCGCCCTTCAACTATCCAGTACCCACCTTGCCTGATTGTGTTGTGGGTGACTCCACGTCCTTGATGGTGGCCAACCGATTCGTGAAAGTATCTTACGATCAAGTCTGAGATGTGACTCTTCTTAGGCAAGATCAACGGGTGTTTAACTTCAAGGGGAACATCTGCTCGTCGGATACGACCACCAATCCTAAGCAGTCCGTTTTTGTCAACAAAGGGATCTAACTTATAGAGAGAGCTCTTCTTCTTCAAAGTGTCGTTTCTGCGGCGCGCAGAGTCTCGTTCTTGGAATTTCTCCAAATTGCCTTTGAGGTTTGTTAGTGTTTCCATCTCATGGCTAAAATACTGGCATTGGAGACAACGCAAATTAAACTTCTCGGAGTGGACCAATTCTTCAACTGAGATAGGTAAGAACTGCTTTCCCTGTTCATTGCGCGATCTTCCTGAGTGCTTTGCGGAATGAATCTCTTCTTTACGTGCTGCTATTACAGACTGGAGAATCTTTATTCCTCTTCTCATCCAGGCGACTGTCGTTTTTGCTTTGTGCCAGGAAGAAACGCGATTCAGATATGAAAGAAGAAGTAAACCAGGATATTCTCGAGCGGAAGAGTGCGTCAAGAGGCAGGTGCTTGTCTTCACTTCAACATCATCAGAAGAGAGCTGAGCTGTGTTTTTCTTGTTAAGAAGTGGTACATCGCTTTCCCAGAGAAAGGCTGGCCCTGAGAGCCATCTCTTGTTGTTAAGTAACTGACTGGCAGTGAGTGAACGAGACGCTTCGTCCGCAGGATTATCCTTTCCTGGCACGTGATGCCACTGTTCCGGGTCGCTACGATCACGGATGTGCTGTACTCTGTTTCCGACATATACGTGAAAACGACGAGCTTCATTACTTATGTAGCCGATGACTACCTCAGAGTCTGTGTAATAAACAGATCGTAAATTCTCGTAGTCGAGTTCACTCTGCAACATCTTCGTTATATTGACTGATACGAAGGCCGCTGTCAGTTCCATACGGGGAATAGATATCGGCTTGATAGGAGCTACTCGTGACTTGGCTATGATAAAACTCACATGAACTTCTCCTTTAGAGTTGACTGTTCGAAGATATGAGACTTGACCGATTCCTGATTCCCTTGCATCCGAAAAACTGTGTACTTCCGCTTGGACTGGACTTCCGAAGCCAGGCGGTTTAACACAGCGGTTGAGTTTGACTTTCTCTAACAGCGGTAGTCCGGTGCGCCACCTCTCCCAACGAGCGATAATTTCATCAGGAAGCGGGTCGTCCCAATCCACCTTTTGGCGACAAAGGTCTTGCAAAATCTGCTTACCAGTCAGGATTACTGGTGAAACTATCCTCAAAGGGTCGTATACTGAGCTTATCGTAGAAAGGATACCCCGACGTGAAAGTGGTTTATCGTTCAGTTCTATGCGGAAACCTAAAGTATCCGATTCTATGCACCAATAAGTGCCTAGAAATCGCTGGACTGGTAGAGCATCGTGGCGAAGGTCAAGATCTTTGAGGTCTCTTGCACGATCGTCTTTTGGAAGGGCCTCTAAGACATCCTTTCGGTTGCTGGCGAACTTGTGAAGTCGTAATTTCGCTGACGCACAGAGACCCTGACTGTCCTCAATCAATTCTATGGCTTCTGAAATAGTGGGGACCGAAGTAAGGCCGTCATCCCTATAAAAGTGTCTGCACAGAAAATCAGCTGCCTTGTCACCGAACTCGGCACGTCCAGTTTCTGCTGTCTTGTGAAGACTATAGTTGGCTACGGCAGGAGATGACACTGCTCCAAAGAGATGTACATTCATACGAAATTCTGAGATGGCACCATCCAAGTCATTATTCTCAAACCACAAAAAGCGGAGGAAGTCTCTGTGGCTTGGTGTAACGTGAAAGCTATGGAACATTTGTTCTATATCACACGTGAGTGCTACATCTTCCTTGCGGAATCTGGTTAATACCCCGATGAGAGAGTTCAGCTGGTCTGGTCCTTGTAAAAGATTCTTGTTTAAGGACTGGCTGTTGTAAAGGGCGCTACAATCGAAGACTACACGTAATTGATCGGGTTTCTTGGGATGGTACACGTCAAAATGTGGGAGGTACCACACTTTGCCAGGCGTTGGCGTCAGTTCGTTGTCTGGGACACGACTTGCGTGTTGACGTTCTAATATCTTCTGCATAAAGGCGATGTAATTCTCTCTTGCTCTCTCGTCTTTACATAACTTTCTTTTCAGCGATAGAAGTCTTCTTAGGCACTGTTCTCTGTTATCTGGAAGGTTGACTTCATCTGTCTTGAACGGAAGTGGTGCCTCCCAGTTTCCTAATTGATTCTTGTGCATTTCTGTAGTCATAATTTGGAAGAACCGTTTGTCTTTAATCGACTCAACTTGCTCGTTCGCACAAATTTTGCGAGAGTAATTCAGTTCACTATAGTCCAGTTCCATCATCTCGCGAATTATTTGGGGGCTGGTGACATCCTTCGACCGGAGCTTATTGACGAGAACGGCTACAGAATCTTGCTGATGGAGAGGATTAGAGGCTTGAGGGACGTTCAGAATACACGATTCCGGTAGTTCTTCTCTTTGAACGGTAACGCGATTGACTGATATGCTATTACATTCTTGGGATTTCGCTTTATCCAAGCAGACAGGACCGATGATTGTCCATCCAAATTTGTATTTCTCTGCCCAAGGCTCGTCTGCTTCGCCATAAATAACTTTCAGGGGTTGGAAGGCGGTAGGTACATTTCTTCCAATGAGCATGCCGATTTCTATGTCAGACCTGTAATGTATCTCATCGGCAACATCCTTCAAGTGATCCCACTGTCTTACTATGTCAGGAGTGGCAATGTCGCTGTGTGTTGCTGGGATCTTCGGTTGAGCATAGGCATAAGGAACTTTAACGGGTGAATATCCGCCGTTTATATCTTGGATTTGAAGGCAGGGGACTCTTCGCATTCTGACAGTGTTGGTGCCCACAATCGTGTTTACTTGAAGGTTAACTTCTGCGCCACTTAGATTTAATTTGCTTTGGAGGGCATCTGTAATGAACACTTCCGTTGATTGGTCATCCAGGACAGCGTACGTTAAGGTTTCCTTAAGAGGGTCTGACTGGTCCGATACTTTCAACAAAATAATCCTAGCACAGGAACGACGGGTCCGTCTTTGCACACTCGAGTACAGGCCGATGCAGCTTGGCTGGAGTTGTTTTCTGGCCTTGACGGGTCGTGAAGGGCTGTGACTTGACTCCTTCCGCATATTTTGCATTGAGGGCGACCTTTATCACAATGTTTGCTGATGTGCTTGTTTGAGCTTGCGCAGTTAAAGCAGAATCCTTTTTTAAACAGGAAATCTTTTCGCTCACTGAAATCGAGCTCGCGAAATTTCTGGCAATTTTCAAGATCATGAGACTTAGTTCTGTGATAGGGGCAGAATGCTGTAGTGACAGTTGAAGCTGTACCAAGACTATCAGGAGTGGCTGTTGACTTAGAGTCTTTTGAGATACTCTTAGTTGGGCTACGTTCTCCGTCCGGTGAAGACTGAGTTGCTAGAGCTGTAATTTGCGAGCCTTGTCCTGTGGAGGTCTGTGATCCTCTGCGGGAACTAGTTGACTGGTTGGAAGCAGCTCTCTGGTTAATACTACCAAGTGATGCTTGTGAGATTTGGGGAATGTTCATTCGCTCGGCATGAAAGTTGACTTCCTTTACAAACTCGGAAAAGGATGGAAAGACACTGTGACCATCTGTTTGCTGTAACTTCTGAACTTTAGTTGACCAATTGGTTTTAAACCAGCCTGGAAGTTTTTCTACAAGACTCTGAAGTTTCGATGAAAAGTCAAAGATCTTTAGACTTGGTATGTGATCTCTCGCTATCTCCACTTGTTGCAGAAAGTCACTGAACTCTTGTATTCCCTTTGCATCACTGTTCCCAATTTTGGGCCAATTGGTGAGCCTTTTCTCAAAGTCAGCACTTAGAATTGCGGAATTTCCAAAACGGTATTTCAATTTTTTTCTCCATTCTTTGTAGGCCTTTTCAGGGTCGGCAATCATGAATTGAAGCTGTTCAACTACCTTCTTTGCCCTGGCTTCTAAATGCTGGAATAGAAGGTGCAATTTCTGCCGCGATGCGACTGGTACCGAGTCTATGAGAGCATCAAACGCGGACTCCCATAGAAAGAATTTTGTCTTGTCTTCCTCTTCTCCCCTGAAGACATCCGGTTTCGCTTGGGGTAAGCGATGGAGTTGGGTGACCTTAGCTAAGGCTTCCGTGATTTGCTGAGTATTATCTGGTGATGGCAAAACGTACACAGGACTAGGCTGCGGGGGCTGCAATTGAAGCGGAACGTAAAGTGGAGGGTTTCCATAAAGGCTTTGGGGAGTGAAATCCTGGTAAGCCTGCTGATACATGACAGGGCTGGTTCCCAAACCTTGTTGGAGTGAAGTAGTCAGATATGCACCGTGGGGTGTCATGGTGTCGATGAAGCGTAACCTCCTCCGAGATACACAGAGTGTTGAGTCACAGGGGGTAAAGACTGTGATACAGAAACTGAGGACTGCGTGACGGCAGGAACTGAAGAAACTAATGGCCGCGAACCAAGTGCTGAAGTCTGTGTTACAGAGACTGAAATAGGTGCTGAAGACCACGTAAGGAAACTAGAAGACTGCGTGACAGGTGACGAAGATTGTGTTACATGACCTAATGACTGTGTGACAGACGTTGAAGACTGTGTTACAAAACTTGATGGCTGCGTGACAGACGTTGAAGACTGTGTTACAAAACTTGATGACTGCGTGACACGTGTCGGGCACTGTATTGAAGAAGAAACTTGTGGCTGCTTTTCGAGTAATGAAGATTGCTTGACAGAACTTGACGTTTGCATGACACTTGCTGAGGAATTTGTCACATGAGACGAAACAGAAGCAGAAGGTTTTTGTTCGTACAAAAGACTGTCTATGATGCTTCCAAAGCCCTTGGGTGTCACCTGTGAAAGCGACTCGTCTTCGTTGTTTTCATCCCCCGCATTTAAAGCTACTTGATAAACTGCTTCTTCGGCGAGTGTCTCACTTAGTTCTTGTTGAAGCTTTAGCTTAGCGAGGGTTTTCTCTTGTTCTTTGATCGTGTCAGCAAATATTATCTTTTGTTCTAGAGCAGCTCTTTTGGCCTTAAGGCCTAGCAATTTGCTTACGCTGGACGAAGAAGAGATCCGGGATCCGTAAGACAAGTTTGATTTAGTTTCCTCCTTTACTTCCAAAAATTCCATGCGACTAAGCGCCGTGGCGCGAACTTTCTCCCAGGAGCTTTGAAGCTCGTATTGCTGCCGAGTTATTTCATTTATCTCCTCTGCTTCCACCGTTAGGTTCATCCAGTCGATAAATCCTTGTATTGCATTGTCTGCGAGGCTTTTAAGCTTTTGTAATTCGCTCCGTATAAAATCAGGGTTGCCAATATCAGAAACTGATTTCTCGAAGGATACGAGCTGGAGACGAAATTCTCCCTTTCCTTTCAAGGCCGCTTTTCTCTTTAGATGTATCGTAAACTCACGACCTCTATCGGTCATCTTACGAACACGGGTAGGTCTACCAGCAAACTGATCCAGGTTGCAGCAGTCGACAACAAACTTGACTAAACTAACGTTCCTTTGAACCAAAGGCTTTGACTATGCCAGCGCGGGTCCGAAATCCAAAACACCCATTTGACTTGAACAGATTATCATAGCTTTAATCACAAATCCACACGCGTAATACATCTCCAAATCGCTAAAGAAGTGAATCTGTCAAACTAGATATAGGATGTACAGTTGGTATACAGAAAAACTGGAAAACGGCAAGCAGAAAGGTAAAAACTTACGCCTTTCCGGGCTCTAACATCGGACCGCGTGCTCGATAACATAACAAAACAAGCGCGCATGAGCAGAAATCCGCGACGCATACATGACGTAAAAAAGGGCGGAACACGGGTGCCGCTACACCTCGCCCTTCAAAAAATGGCCACAGCCGTCTCTGTTGAGTCTCGTGCCCAAAATCAAAGCTTCGTGTCCACTGAAAATTAACTTAAGGTTGGGGCCGCAAGCCGGTTCAAAGCTAGAAGAGTATTTTTGTTAGGATTGAAAAGGTCTGGCTTTCCGCGCAAAATACATATTTTAAGCACGGAAGGACACGAACATGTTGCATCTAGCACCTCTCCTATAGCTTAAACATTCTTTACCTTTGTGTGTCAACATTCTAGCTCGTATTCTTGATTTGGCCAAGTTTTCTCACGTAAAAATATTAAAATGTTAAATTACAATGATTTTTTTCTCATGAGGTTATAATAACATAGGAACTTAATGTGTTATTCAGCTCTAGAGCATTTGTTATGTCTGGTAGCTCAAAATTCATGGGAATCCTCGAGGCCAAGCAAATGAACCATTAAACAAGGCACCGTCCTTAAAAAAATCAACGTTAACAAAGCGAAGAAAACTTTATCGAATGTTACCGGATCTGCGAAAAAGCGAATCGAATTTATGGAGTCATACAATTACTGAGAAAAAGCTAGCGTCATATCATAATAAAGTCGCAGCGATATAAATTTCTTTACTGTGCAACGGTTGTTTTCACCGAGAAACTAATTAAATATTTCAATTCTTACCTCAGAGCAATCGTCTTTTTTTACCTTCCTTTCGCTAACAATGAGAAAAATCCAGCATCCTCCCTTGATATTTGGCCGCATGTGTTTGTTGTAGCCGAGTGTGAACATCCACCACACATTCTGATATATTCTCACTACGTCCAAATATCACCTGAAATATAAACAGTTCCCGAGAAAAAGAAGCGACGAGGAGGTGAAATGCTAGATCCACGCCAAGGCAATGTACTCCAGTAACAACGCAGGCGTTGTGGGGAACCGAGTGATTTTAGGTACTTTAAAAGCGCGCAAACAAAATTATTCTGGCGCAAATTGAAGATTATCTTGCAATGTATGCTGACATTTAATACATTGAAAAGTCTCGCCATGACACAGAAATTTTAGCACTTTCGAGGAGTGTGAAATATTAAATGGGATTAAGTGCCCACAAAGCTTATAACTCTGTATGGTGCTGCATAGCCTGTTCCAGGCTCCGAGATGGTGGTGGAAAGTCGTTCAGTAACAAGAAATGCGCGTCTTATTTTCGCTTTGCTCGTTTTAATACGTTCCCACTATACTATCTGAGAGCCTGGCACAGGCTAGGTGCTGTACTTCCAGTAAAAACCCTCTGCGTCCTCTCATGGACAGCTCTTATTAAAAGATCCGTTTTTTGTCGAATTTCCATCGAGTTATCACAGTTAGGGAATTAACGAGATAAAGATGGCGCTTAAATGAAAAGCAAAGTGGGTTAACCAAGTTTAACATCCACCATCGAGGTTATCCTTGAGAAAGTCGAACGCAGCAACACTCTGCGTACTGCTTACGTTTTGGACTTTTCCAACACATTGAGTCTCATTTCGGCAAGACACAATCCTCAATGAAGCGAAAATTCCAATAGCGTTTCTTTTCAAGCGGAAGTAGTCGCCTAAGTTGAAGCTTAAACTAGTCACTGATTCGGTTAGCTTCAGTGCTAGTTTCCACTTATTTCATACGGACGTCGCTCTATATTCATAGGACGTTTGGCCACCAGTAGTAGGAAATACTGGAATGCTTAACATTTCAGAGTTCCTGGTTGTCCGGCTGATCCTTTTGCGAACTTTGACTCTCTCCTCCGCAGAGGCTCCCGCTGGGTATCCCCATCAAAATATCAATTATCGAAAAAATAGAAAGCGCGGGGGACGATGGGAAGAGGGAAACAGCGGGAGCGTCTGCCACATAATGTATCCAAGATGGCGCCTAATTTCTGAGGAAGACTGGATCTAGGAGGTGTTCCTCATAAATATTTACAACATGACAGAACATAAAGTCCGACAAGAAGAGGAAGCTGTCTCGCTTTCTGAACGACCTTTGCAGAGAGCAAAGCAAGGCGGAAAAACCACTTGTTGGAAATGTTTTCAGGACGCCAGTGTTACTAATTTCTTCGCCAAGGGAGCCGGAATGATCCAGCATTTTCGTACTATGCACCGAAACATCGATGTAGACGAAGTGCGATGCAAGACCCTTTTCCAGCAACTTCACGGCAAGGAAACGGCAGATACCATCGCGCGCTTAAGCAGATTTCGCTTAGAAACGGTTAGTAGCTCCTTATTTTGTTTACCTCAACACGATACTTAAGCATCTTTTTTCCTTTCGATTTAATCGAGTGATGAAAGATTTGTTCTCGTCTGCAGTTGTGTACTGTTGGTAGTTACTCAGAGTATAATGTGAGCGTGGAGGAACAAGGTGTATTTGGAGCCAAAATTGTTGCCAAAACAAGAAGAGGAGCGGCAAAGCTATACGGTTTGATTTTACACCACTGTGGGAAACTGAGAGCTCTTGGAGACCGACCATGTGTTGTTCAAGTGGAAGAAGTTGGCAACTCTACTAGCAGACAAAGCTTTCGCTCGTGGTTTGCTGGGGACAAAATTTACGTCGAGTGTTTTATTCCAGGCAGAAGGGTAAATAAATATTGCCTTTGGTTGTTCCTTTATTTAACATACAATATTGTCAGTCTAAGATGGATGGTATTAACAATTCTGTTGTGTGAATTCGGTGTATCCCATATCTTACTTTTATGTTTAAATGTCAAGTCATGTTTTTTCATTTTTTAATTATTATTCCCTTAAAGACTAAGGAAGTTGCGACTTATAATCAATATTATTATTTTTAATACTGCAGACACTTGCAATTACCCAAGGTGACACCCCCTTGTTTGCCCAAAACTCTGTTTTCACTGGGGAGTATACAGTTGCAGTGTTCTCACCAGGATTTTGCCTTGGGGAGTCCCAGGGCCCCCTCCTCTGAGAAATAGGGGCCCTGTAAGAACATTAGGGGGACAAAGTTACAAAAAACACGCGGTACGAAGAACCTGAGCCCGCACTCCAAATTGTCTGTTACATGAAGTACCTACCTGATCCAATATGGCGGAAGAGGTGTTTACACTAGCAGCTAAATACAGGAATTGCACCGACCTGTGATTGGAAGATAAAAATAGTATGTCAGTGGCGATGACGTGACAATTCGTTACGTTAGCCGTTTCAACAGTAACGGTTTTTACACGAAAAAGACCGTCCACAGGAAAATACAATATAATATTAAATATTTCTCAAAGACAAACAGTGCAGTATTCTTTTGAAGTCGGCTGACTCGCTAAGGGTCAATGTCTTATCGAAGTTGAAGTTCAACTGTCGCAAATCGGATAACTTCACTGAGTGATTCTGAGATGAAACCTTTTGTCTGCATCCACATTGATCTTAGATTTTACCACTTACATATTGAAGAAAAGCCATAAACAGAACTTCAATGTCCACGTACACACCCGACTGAACCTCGGTGCGATTCCTGCAGATACCGCGGTTCATACTAAATGCAGGAATTGCACCGGACGCGTTCTCGTCCCCAGAGTCACTCTAAGTTGTAACAAAAGAGCACGTGACCAAGAAAGACGGGCTCTGGGAACGAGAATACACCGGACGCTCATTGGTCGAATGCGCAACTTGGCATAAATGAAATAGCCGCGGGAAACTTTAATTGATTTTCTCGCGTTTTGATTTTCGCTTGATAGGACAAGACTTAGGCCACTGGAAATAACACATCACTTGTATTCGAAGTTAAATTATACTGAAGCAGGGGTTATAGGATCCTGACTAAGTTAAGGTCATCTAAACCTCGGGCTGATTGTTCTTTGCCTTTTTTTCTTTTACTGCTTGACTTTACAAGTGTAACATGCTCTCCTTGGTGAGTATATCGAATCTGAAATACCTCAGCAATATATATATATATATAATATCCATACTCCCTCCAAGGATGGTATTTTCCTTGAGATGCCCCCACCATTCGGGAAATTCCAGGTTAATTTTATACTTTTCTTTAAAAATCTTGGCCTTTCAAACCCCCCTCCCCTGCAGAATTTCCAATGAGTATCCTTGGGGTTGGTGGGTATGTTTATTTTCTGGAACCACACAATCCAAATAAATTACACTAGCCTTTTTGAGGGAGGAACTCCTGTATAAAAGTTACAGGGATTGCTTGTCTTCTAACTTAACAAGTTGTCTCATCTCAGTAAAGGCATAGAAATACACAGAATTTGATCTCGCTTAAATTATATTGGGGGTGGAAAGTCAGTAAATATAGAAATATCCATTTACAAAAGCCATGCACATACTTTACTGCTAACAGTGTTGAAGTGGACTCCTCGAGGGGTCAAAGAAAGTCTTTGGTACACTAAATTTTCTAATGAGCCGCCCTGTGCCTATTGTATAAGAATCCCCTCCCGGCACACTAGCTACAAAGTTAAATAAAAAGTTATGTCACTTACACAGTTGTTCCTTGTGATTCCCTGGTACCTCTATCTTGTGTTCCCAATAGAAACTTTAGCATGATTCATTGCATGCCCTCCAACAACAGTATTAATTTTTTAATACAGACCTTTGTCGCAAGACTATATTGAAAAGGGATCGATGTCTTGTCGCGGTTTCAAAAAAAAAAAAAACCCTGGGGACGAGAACGCGTCCGGTGCAATTCCTGCATTTAGTATGAACAGCGGTATCTGCAGGAATCGCACCGAGGTTCAGTCGGGTGTGTACGTGGACATTGAAGTTCTGTTTATGGCTTTTCTTCAATATGTAAGTGGTAAAATCTAAGATCAATGTGGATGCAGACAAAAGGTTTCATCTCAGAATCACTCAGTGAAGTTATCCGATTTGCGACAGTTGAACTTCAACTTCGATAAGACATTGACTCTTAGCGAGTCAGCCGACTTCAAAAGAATACTGCACTGTTTGTCTTTGAGAAATATTTAATATTATATTGTATTTTCCTGTGGACGGTCTTTTTCGTGTAAAAACCGTTACTGTTGAAACGGCTAACGTAACGAATTGTCACGTCATCGCCACTGACATACTATTTTTATCTTCCAATCACAGGTCGGTGCAATTCCTGTATTTAGCTGCTAGTGTGTTTACGATTCGGAGGAGGAGTTTACGATGTAGTGGGACGTGCGTGGTACCAATGGAAGTAAAGGCAACAAAATTAAAGACTTTGACTCATTTGATATCATGTTTTTTATTTATTCAAACAAACAAAATGCTTTAGTGTTAGTGTACGAGAGATTTACCAACCCTACCCCTCACGGTTTTGTGACGTTGAACAGCACTACCAAATTAGGGCTAGGGCTACCAAATAAGGTAATGAGCACGTGCGTGCTGAGTAAGCTAGAACTGGACGAGTCGAAAAAGTATATAGAGCGCGAGTTTTCCTTAGAGGATTTTTCATCGAGTTTCGTGAGAGTTTGTGAGTCGGATTGAAGCGGAATAAACCAGGAAACCGTGTTATTGTGAGTTCTATGGGCTGTGTTATTGTTCACCTCATTAGGTTGACCATTAAAACTACTTAAGTCTGTTTGACTCGTAGCTTGCCCCTGCGCTCTAACGGGCGCATCTTCTTGGTTTTAATGCGCCATTTCAGTTTTTCTTGCGGGAATCCCGCAAGGCCGCGGCCTGGCGAGAACACTGCAGTTGGATCCAAGAGCCCGCTGGAAGTTTTGCAGACTGTTTTTGGCCACACCAACTTCAGGCCAGGGCAGTGGAATGCTATTTCAAAAATTTTATCTGGCAAAGATGTGATTGTTGTCATACCAACTGGTGTTGGGAAGACAGTGGTATATACACTACCTTGCATTATGGCGCCCGGATTGGCCATTATAATTTCACCAATCTTGATGCTGATGTGTGACCAGGTTCAAGACTTAGAGGGTATGGGATAAACACATGCTACTATAACACCCTTTTAAGTGATGATGATAGGAAAAATATACTCCACAATTTAAAGCAGCCCGATTGTCAGTACCAGTTTGTATTTATTAGCCCTGAAGCTGTAATTACAGACAGCTTCCAAAGTTGTCTGGACGCTTTAAGATGTGAAAATAGACTGAAAATGTTTGTTGTGGACGAAGCCCATTGTATAGATACCTGGGGAAAGGACTTTAGACCTGCCTACCAACAACTGGGTATTTTGAGAAAGTATGGATTGCCATTTGTTGCCCTTACTGGTACAGCAACAAAACAGACTTCATCGATTATCAGCACAGCACTTCAGATGGAAAACCCCGAAGAAGTGAGACTGCCATGTCGTAGAAATAACCTCTGCTTTTCCGTGGTCGCTAAAAAGGAACTAAAGGCCAAAGATCAAGTAGCACAGATAGTAAGCAGTGATTTTGATGGTCTGTGTGGAATAGTTTACTGTGCTCGCCAAGCAGACACTGTTGAAATGGCCTTTGAGTTGAAGGAAAGGGGCATTCCTGCAACATACTACCATGCAGGAATGGAAGGTGGTGAACGTATTCGAAATGCTAACATGTGGCTTGAAGACAAAATCAAAGTAATGTGTTGCACTAATCCCTTTGGGATGGGAATTGATAAGAAGGGTGTCAGGTTTGTCATACACCTTACTCTTCCATCATCATTGGAGGATTACGTTAAGGAATCAGGAAGAGGAGGTCGCGATGGTGACAATTGTTCCTGTATTCTGCTTTTTCGCTTTGCTGATAGGTCATTTCATCTGCGAAATGTAGCTGCCATGCCTTTTAGTGAGGACAGTTTAACGCTTCTAAATTCCCTTGCAGACTTCTGCATGCAAACCTCACTCTGTAGACAACAATTCATCGCAAGATATTTTGATGAGAATCTGGGTGAAGCATGTTACTGTTGTGATATCTGTCAAGAAGACAGTTTCCAGGAACAAAAGGACTTGACGCTTCATGCGAGAAACATCATTGATTGTTTACGCCAAATCAGTACACTTGAAGGAAAACCAAAACTGACTGACTTGGCAATGACTTATATGGGGTCAAAGGCCAAAACGATCATTACACAAAGATTTAACACAGTCGCACAGTATGGAAAGGGGAAAGACCAATTTCTAAATGTGAACAATGCGACTAAATTTATTCAGTTTCTGATTTTTAAAGGATTCATAAAAGAAAACATTAGAAGTCTTGAAGAGAGGATGACAATTAATTATCTAACTTGTGGGAATGTTGTAGACTTGGTTGATGGTAGATGCCAAGTGTTCTTCAACTTGTAAAGTGTGTCTCTCTTAGAATATATGATAAACAATGCGACAAAACCGTGAACTTTTGAAATTTCTCGGGAATGTTTATTGTGTTATGACCAATCACAGAAAGACCAGGACACCGGAACTGGCCACAAAACAACAAACTAATAAATAACCAATTACCGTTGCTACTTGTGATTAGTTTTCTCATGCCTGATTGGCTTTTTTCTTGTATGACAATAACATTCCTGAAATATTTCTGGTGTTCACTGTTTTCTTGGTTTGACTGTATGAGTATTATTTTACCATCAGGAGGCTGTTAGAAAGCAACAGTGGTAACAAGTTGCATGTACATGAATTATGGGTAATAGCTCTTAAGACAGCTACCCTTGAATGTGTGCTGACTTCACAAAAGGCAATAAATTGCTTTGTCTATTCAAAAAGTGTAAGGTCAAAAATCCCAACACCACCCCTCAACTCCAAAAAAAATCTGATGCAGTCCCTCAGTTCAAAGTCATTTATTGAGAGGATATTTTATAAAATACAAAGTGAACTACATCAGGATCCTGACTGTATATTATTAAACAGTGTGGAAAAAAAATTTATAGTGTTATTGTTACACCCAGCAAGAGCCCAGTGGGTTGATTCTGTGGTGGTGGATCTGTGCTTATTTTGGTTACTCTTGGAGAAATTTAAAGCAGCTCAATGGCCTTGCCCAGCTTATGATTACTAAGGGAAAACTAAGATTTCCCAGAGTGCCAGTAATGAAAGTAAGGAGCCAGAGAACAATGGACACTGCATATGTGTAACTTCTGTTTGTTAACCCTTTTTAAAATGGGTAAAGAAAAGTTTTAACCCTTTAAGTCCCAATACAAATGAAAAGTGACCAACATCAATTTTCTCCTGAAAAAATCAATAGACAATCAAAGGGAAAGGTTATGAGAATTTACAAAATGATCACCGAAAGGAAAATGCTATGATCTTTTTTCAAATTCTCTCAACTTATTCTTTAAGGAAATATATATAGATAAGTTTGGAGAATTTATATTGGGGCTTAAAGGCTTAACAATTGAATGAATTGTCCATATCAGTACCATACATGAAGCAGATTCAATCAAAATATCACTTGTAAAAGCATTAACACTGTACATTTGATAATGATTAATACTATTTGGCCTTGCTCTTTTTCGTGAATAAAGGTAGGGAAAGGTCATCAATTATGGGAGGAAAAGAGGGATACCCCGCAATTATGCAAATGAAGATAGACTTAAGCCTGAAATTAATGGCTTTCAGAAGGCAGCTTTTTTTGGACGCATAACACTTGTTTATAGTTGAACTCATCATTACAAGCATTCTTACTGAGGTTTTAGTCAATGTGAACATTCAGATCAAGCTTTCAATACCTGCGAAGTCAGGTAGAGAGGAAGAGAGCAGCTAGAGTTCCTATTGTATGAAAGTCAAGGGCACCAAGAAAAACTAATGCCTTGGCATATTTTATAGCCCACTCCCCTCCTTTTCTCCAATAAATGTATTCTGGGAATTCCTCACCCACTTTCCTCTCCCAAATTAATTACCAGTCCATACTCATTGCTGTAAATAGCTACATGTAAGAAAAACACTTCCATCTGCTGCTGTTGGTCTATTCAGTAAGACAAGTACTCATGACTGATAAAAATGCTTTGAAAACATACTTGTAAATGCATATGTTATTTTTTTTAAAAAACTGGCATTTTCCAATGATTAAAATAGTGATTGCACATGATTTCTTCTTGCTTACTTTTTATGACCAACTTGCTCTATTGAGACTACATGCCCTGTAGTGAAGAGTTTGGTTGTTGATATTGCAACAAAACACTGTTACAAGATAGCTGAAATAGTCATAGCATGACTGTTCCCAGCCAGGAACCTATGATAACATACTTTGGTACATGTAGAATGTGAAGAGAAAAAAGCACACCATCCCATTGGCTGAGACAAAAGAAGGTTAATGTGAATATCAACATCCAAAATCTCCTCTTTAACCTTTCACCCTCACAGTATAATTATGATGGAGTCTTGTAGGGTTCTTCTACATTTTGAGTCTGTGCACAAACTCCTGCGGTACTTAAGACATGGAAAGGGGTAAGAACTCCCAATTATTTTACAGAACAATTTTTTTGTCAGGTTCAAATCAATTTCAAAGTTGCGTCTCCATTCCCTTTCATAAAATCACTTACATGGCAAAATGAAAGTTACTTTAATCTGTAATACACAATTTGCAACCGGGGAAAAACCATTAAGCAACTCCTAATAACCAGATTCTGGTCTTTTTTCCTTTTTTCTGCATAATAGTAATATTTCCGTTTGAAATCATTACTTAAGTACCTACAACAACGCGATTCTCCACTTTAAAACAGTGTTGGTGTTACAAATTATGATGACAATATTTCATACCTTAAATCTGGAAAGCTCTCAAAGAGCTTTGCCTTAAAGTTCTCTTTTATTTTTGCCTGTCCCTTTTCCACCACATTGATCAGGTTCTTGGGAATCTTTACTTCTGTGCTTCCCTTCTGATCAACTGGGTAGCATTCCACTTCCTTGCGGCCGCTGCTTGTGAAAAATCCTTTTTGGAGACAAAACCATGCTCCCTTAAGCTGATCAGGAAAGGCTGTTTGCTCAGAGTGTCGTGATCTATGGTGCACATCGAATCCATCTTTACCCATGTAGGAAGCTCTCACCATTTTTAGCATGTCAATGTTCGCCATCAGTCTTTCACACATGGTCACAGTTGTGTGTCCACTAGCATATTTCTTTAGGGGCTGCAAAACTTCCGATTCTACAAAACCATCAAGCTCAATACCATGTCCTTTTTTCCCACTAAGGTTGACAGAACAGTTCTGCTGCAATAACCTTCTTGTTGCAAGTGGCCATTTTGCAAGAAAATTGACAACATGACGGAACACTTCTGTGTAATAATTTCTAAATCCAAGTTGCGCATAAATTGGTAATTGTGCTTGGTACACAACTTCACGTGCATAGCCATCTCCGTATGCAGTTGATGCATCATACAATTTCTGAATTGAGCCATAAACAAGAAATGTGGTTGACCGGTGCTGGAAAGAAACATCATTATCAGATGATTCTGAAATCCAGTCCTTGAATTTGTCCAAAAGCAACGTACTCACATCTGCAGCACCCCGCAATTCCTGCTGAACTGGAAATGACTCACTCTCTAAAAATTCCAAAGCTGCAGCAATACCACAGGCCTTACAGACATCACGGATTGCCTCCCTTACTTGGATGAGGTTATTCTCCTGAAATTTCTTGTTCTTAAATACTTCAGAGGTCGATTTCTTTCTTTTCATAACCTCTAGCAGGATGTAAGGAAGACCTGATGACCCATGGACTTTGAATGCTGCTTCACAAAAGTAGCCTTTATTGTGAAGGTCACCAGGACAAAAACCAACCCATTTGTAGGAATCTGACCTGGACATAGCAGCACTGTTTGTCGTGCAAGTTCCTACATCCCCAACAACAGGCGTGACAAATCCACGACAAGAACGATTAACCTCTGTTTCAGTGTCAACACTGTCCCCTCCACTACTGCCACCTTTAGAAAATGTGTTATCAATCAGAGGGATCAATTCATTTTCATCTTCTGACTCATCCTGATCCTCAGAAAATATCTGCAAAATTTCAGTATGCTGCAGCCTTTCAGCCATGCACAATGGAGAGGGAATACTTGTGAACAATGGACCAGAATATCTTGCTCCTGATTCCACTAGGAATTTAAAAATGGCTGTATTCTTGTGTAACACTGCAAGACTCAAGGGAGTAATGCCACATCCCTCTCTGCTATTCACTTCGAGACCCATGTCAACCAAACATTTAGCAAAACTATCATGACCCTGTTCTACAGCGACATGAAGGAGAGAGCGTTTCAAGTGGTCTTTTACATTTACCTTTAGTTTATGCTCAGGGCTGTTAACGAAGGCCAGGTAGCTCTACTCACTGTTTGATGCAATTGTGTCAGACAGCTTAGAGGATATACAGTTAAAGACCTCCCAGAAAGGTTTGTCCTCTGTTTCAAACCGCCGACACTCACCCTCAAGAGTTGTCGTGGAACTTTCTGTTGAATCTTGTTCAGCTACCCCTGGACACTCCTCTTCAGTCTCCAACTCTTCATCAGTAGCCCCATCAATTTCTCTTTCTCGGCTCCGCAATTGCCTTTCCAGCTCGCCCATATTACTTTGATGGTTGTGCTGACTAATAAGCAATTCAAAGTGAGATCTAGCTGAGTGAACATCATTTTACCTGACACAGAATCAAATGGAAGGTACTCTGGACCCTTCTTTTCATTCGGTAATGAAAATTCTATTGCAAGTTGATCAAGAATACTCATTGTTCCAACAATTGTGCTGTTATCTTCAAGAGATAAAGGTAAAACATGGACATTACTCTTTGTAACTGGACTTCTACAAGTAATAATAATAATAATAATTTTATTTATATAGCGCTAAAATCCAATAATTGTCCAAAGCGCTACCTAATTACAAAATAGAATATAAAAAATCTAAATTAAAAAATATCTACAATATACAATATAATTCAAATATAGCCTAAGTTATCTACTTTATAACTCAAAAACATCTTAAAACAAAAGGAATCTCATAACCTATATGCTAACTTAAATAAAAAAGTTTTAAGGGATTGCTTAAAAGTTGCGAAGGTAAGGTCAGTATCCTTTGGGTCAGTATCCTTTGGGACTTTGATCTTGTATCTCGCTTGAGTATTCCAGTCAGCATTTGAAATGAAAGAATTGAGTTCTGATTCAGTCATGTCCTTAAGCTTTTTTCTGCTTGGTGGAAATTTGTTCAATGCATCGTCAAGAACTTCCAGCAAAAAAGCATCAACAGCACTTTCCAAAACATCTGTTTTTCCTTGATCACTCTGGATAAAGATGTCACCGGGATTTAAAAGAAGCACATTCCTCTGAGGTTTAACTTAAGCATCTTTGTCTTGGAGGATGTTTTCTAAACCCTCTACATTTGGAATCAGTACAGCTTGACCTGTAAAGTTCCACATCATAGGGCCAATGTACTTAAATAGCCGCAAGTGTTTGTGCTTTCCTCTGTACATGTTGATATTATCAAACATTAAGATTACTGGAGAATCTGTGGGAGTTTGTTTAGAAATTTCTTCTTGTTTCTTAGCTTTGCGGCCATCAAAAAACTTCATTGCCTTCTCCCAGCTAACAGTTAAACCAAGATGATTCAGCTTTCCAATAAATCGCATACCAGCTCCAAAGGATATACACAGACAAGTAAACAAGATTTTAAAATCATTTTGAATTTTCTGACTTTTCAAGCTGACCAATACAGCTAGAGAATGAACAGCACTACGTACTCGCATCTCTGACACCTCCCTTCCATCAGTTTTGTGAAGTACCAGGGTGTCCAAAACAATAAAAAGGAGGGGGCACTGCTCCCTTGTATTCACAGGTAGTGTGCTAAATACTCCACTCACATCAACTTCTGACAAATCCTGTGTCTCAAGTCCAATGTTGAGAAAGCTGATAAATGTGTCCATTTCCTTAATGAGTTCAGCTCTGTCATTTGCACAAAGCACATCACATTGAGACTGGCTTTGTAAGAGTCTCTGAACTTCCCTTTCATACAGATGTTCCAAGGTACCTGAAAGTTCTTGAATCCTACTCTGCAACTTGCTTTGCATTTCAACCAAAGCACGCACAACATCTCTTTGAATATTTTCAGCTGTTAACTGAATGTTAAAGCGCTGAATAATGGACTCAATTTCTGTAGAAGCATTTGCAATCAGCCGTTTAATATTTGCGATTTCGGATGTCTCATCCAATGACAAAGATGGCTCTTCCACTGACAATGTAAACGATTTTTTTTTGGCCACATTCTTGTACACTGTCACCTTTTGCTTTCCGTCAGACTTACGGGTACGAGCAACCAGGCAGTTAGGAAAGGCTTCCTTCGTAGCATTTGTGGCTTGGACCTTCTGTGTTTGATCCAAGTGCAGCACCTCTAAAACTGCCTGTTGAGATACTTCAGTTCCTTCTGCTTCCCAGAAGTGATCTTTAAGTGCACTGACAAATGCTGCCCTTCGCATTTTGTAAAAAGTACTTGAAGGCTTTGATATAGCTTGTGTTTGAGGCTTTTGTAACCCTATCAGAGTAATTCAAGCAAAACACTATAAACAAAAAATCTTCATGCTGATACATGGTACTTAAAGGAATTCTTTTCAGTATTACATATTATATGGAAAAAAAATTGCCAAGCTAACCTACAAGGATGCTACTTGTGAGAAACGATACAGAGGATTCAAAACGTTTTGACATAGACTTTACAAACTTGAATGACAAAAAGATCGACAACAAACTTCCTCAAACCTCAAGAGTTTTTCCTCCCTTCATCTAAGAGTGTTGCCTATTAATCTCACAGAGAGAGTAATTCACACTTTTCTCATTGTTGCTGGAAGATAGTGTTTGTTTGAAGTTGTAACATCATCTCTCATTGAGAAAAGAGTTTCTCTGTGAGAGGTTTCCCCATTGTTTAAGATTCAAATTTTTCTAGGGTAATGATTGATATTATGGTAATATACAATGCACGATCATGGAAAAAGACAAAGCAAAAGATAAAGAAAATGCCAATTATAAAACCTTAAGGTTTTGAAATTGTTATAATAAAGAGAGGAGCACATCACTGAAGTGAAACAGACAATATTATTATTCACAAATGTAATTCTGATCTTAAGACCAAGGTCAATAATAATTTTTTGCAACAAAATCATTAAAACCAGAGAAGGTTAGACATTGTGATAAAATGATCATGAAATCAAAAAGAAATGTAAAGTAAGTGACCACACAGCACTTGCAAACTGCGTGTAATTAATAAATTATAGTTTCTCACACATTACTCTTTACGATTTGTAAAATAGACAAGCTTAATATGGACCACAGAAAATAACAAAGTCGGAAAGCTATAAGTAATGAAAAAATAACAAGAAAGTTTATGTCTACTTCTCTATCTGGAGAAAAAATTAATTCGAAATTACCTGCACTTCCCAATTCATCTTCTTCATCTTCTTCGACTGAGCTTTGATGCCTCTTGCTCCTCGGCTCAACTGCAGACTTAGAACTTGGGGGGTAGTTTCGAAAACGAAGCACTCGAAAACGAAGACCGAAGCACGAAGCACTCAAATCTCGAAAACGAAGCACCCAAATCTCGAAAACGAAGCCCCCAAAACTCGAAAACGAAGCACCCTAGATCGAAAACGAAGCACCCAAAACTCGAAAACGAAGCACCCTGGATCGAAAACGAAGACCCCTAAATCTCGAAAACGAAGCGCCCTAGATCGAAAACGAAGCACCCAAATCTCGAAAACGAAGACCCCAAAACTCGAAAACGAAGCACCTGAATCAGGTGGAGGCAGCAGATGCCTCCGCACCTCCAAAGGTCCACAAAATCCATCCCAAGGTTTTATAAGAGCCTGCCAACTGTTTAACTGAACTTATCTAGATAGGATACACAGTATTAATTTTATAATTGGTCTCGCTATACTTGATACATCTTACCTTAATATGCATTTTTCGGTACACATACATGTTTATGTAGACTTCAAAATTGTCAAACGAACCCTTTTCAAGCGGAAGTAGTCGCCTAAGTTGAAGCTTAAACTAGTCACTGATTCGCTTAGCTTCAGTGCTAGTTTCCACTTATTTCATACGGACGTCGCTGTATATTCATAGGACTTTTGGCCACCAGTAGTAGGAAGTACTGGAATGCTTAACATTTCAGAGTTCCTGGTTGTCCGGCTGATCCTTTTGCGAACTTTGATGTTAAGTACGCCGGCCGGGCACACCCGGTCATGCAATTAAATATTAAAACCGCAAGTCGAAACTATGGTTGTTGCTTGGCTGGGAGCCAACGCAAGCCTTTTAAAAATGACTGAAAAGTGGGGTGGAATCCAAGGGTCGAGTTCGTGGGGAGTTCGAGTTATCTGAGTTCGAGTTATCGGGGTTCTATTGTATATCTGACTCAATTTGTGTAAACATGGCTTCGGTGAGGTCTATACTAAGTGTGTCCTTGGTGCCAAGACATTGACCCTCCTCACCGTGGACAATGGGTGACTGTCTGCGCCTCCCACTGAGCTCTGCAATTATCATCATAATCATCCCAGGCCTGATTCAGCTGGCTAGGGCAAATTAAGAACAAGGTTCTTGCCAGTCAAAGCCTCTAGTGAACACTGCTGCTTACTAAAGGGGTTGTGTCAAAACAGCACCCTCCCTACTCCACTTGTTTTGACCCCAAGGCCTTATCCACCCACCTACTGTTAGGGCAGTCCCTGGGCTATTCAGCTGTACCGACCAAGACGGCAAGCCCCCTACTTTTTTGGACACCGGACTGGCCTGGAGCCGTGCTGCGCCTGGCGCCAGACGAAAACCTAGTGGCCAGCTGGTTTTAACGAAATCAGACAGATATATATGTCCCGTATTGTGTCACGTTGTTTTTACTCAAAGTTCCGCCAGTGTGGGATCGTCTCAAAATCTACAGAGGAACCTCCATGTAGCTCCATGTGTGATCTCCCTTCGTAAGCGACCACGTAAGCTCCATAAGCGAAATGACACCAATCAAAGACACCAAAAACGTTTCAGTCAAAACCTTATAGTTGGAAACCTCTCGTAAGCGACCGTAGGCTACGAGCAGTAGTCCGTCGAGCGACTAGTAAATGTCCAGAGCAGTGGTCTAATTACAAACGAGTCAGGAACGAAGTTACGTCTGATCTAAGAAAAGCTAAATCATCTTATTTTTCCACCATTTTAATGAAGCCAAGTCCTCGAGTGCATACTGGAATCTTCTTAAAAGGGCTACCAACCCCAAGGTCCGCAAAAACATCGGGCCTCTTAGAAAGGAAGACAGCAACCTGGAATTTACGGACTCGGGAAAAGCAAACCTGATGAACTCTTATTTTGCTACGATTGGCCTAAAGCTATCCAACACTTTACCCTCGCCTACAAGTTGTGGACACGGGATAACTTGCTCAGACACGGGCGAGACGGATACTCCTCGACTCACACATGCCTATGTTTCAAAGTCTTTAGTAGCGGACAAAATAAAGGCGCTAAAAACAAGAAAATCCACGGGTCCTGATAACATATCTCCAAAGCTTTTAAAGCTAGCAGGCGATGCGATTGTCCCGTCAGTCCTCAGCCTATTCCGACTCTCCATTACCACCGGTAGGGTGATCACTAGCTGGAAAACTGCGAGGCTTACTCCAGTATATAAAAAGGACGATGAAACCGACTGCTGCAATTATAGACCGATATCATTGCTAAGCGTACCAAGCAAGATCCTTGAAGCAGTAGTCAACGACACAATTGTTCGTCATGTATACAAAGCTAATAATCTAGTCACGGACAAACAATGGGCATACCGCGCAGGATTTTCAACAGAACTGTTACTAATACAACTTACTGAAACATGGAGAGAAGCTGTGGACTCAGGCTTAGTGGTAGCAGTTGCCTTCATAGATTTTAAAAAGGCATTCGATAGTGTGTCGCACGCCATTCTCGAAACGAAGTTGGAAAGGGACTTTGGCATATCAGGGCTACTCCTGGATTGGCTTAAAAGTAACTTATAGGAAACACAGCAATACACAGCTGTTAATGGATCAACTTCAGAGATGATACCGATCTCTTTTGGAATTCCTCAAGGGTCTGTCTTGGGGCCGACACTTTTCACTCTCTTCACGAACGATCTTCCGTCCTCAGTATCTTCCGGATCCGTCTATATGTTTGCCGACGACACAACGGTCTACTGCATAAGTGACACGGCAGAAAAAAGTATTGCCAAGTTAAATTCCGCACTTCGTGAATTAAACGAGTGGTGCCTCATTAACAGATTAACACCCCACCCAAGTAAAAGTGAGGCCATGCTAATCTCTAGAAGAAATCCCCCGGTTAACATTTCCCCGATCTTTATCGGAAACTCTACGATTGAATGGGTATCGAAATCAAGATTACTGGGAATGACCGTCGATGAGAAACTGACCTGGACTCAGCATATGCTGGAACTTAAAAAATCATTTGCTAAAAAACTAGGATTACTTAAGAAGTCGAGATTTCTCCCTAGAAACGTTCGTCAGGACCTCTATTTTAAGGTCATCTTGCTTTCAGTGACCTATGGTCTTATACTATGGGGATCTTGCTGCAATTCCGACTTATGTCAGTCCCTGGAAAGACTTCACTGCAGGGCTGCGAGACTTATCTTTCATTTGCCAAAAGACATGGCATCTGCTGATGTCCTACAACGGGCCCAATGGCCGACTCTGTCTATTTATTATAAATTAGCCATTTTTATCTGTCTTCATAAAGCTTTCCACGATAGGTTACCTGTCACATTAATCGACCTGATTTCTAAGAAACAGGCCACAAACTATTCAACCCGAACTTGCGCTTCTTTAATTGTTCCACGCTTCAACACGCGTTACATGAAAGACTCTGTCGCGTTTAGAGGCTCAGTCCTGTGGAATGCAGTGACCAACAACTGTAGTGCCCTGACAAAAAACATTCCTTATCGTGATCTCAGGCTAAAGCTTAAATCTCAAGCTAATTTTAATGAATTCAGCTTCAAGTTAACGTCTGCATCCACTTGTAATTTTAGAAAAGATGACTTTGTATATACTGAAATTTATGCTCATAATTTCATATTTGTAAGCGCTAATTTAGTTCAAACGTTTTGTCTGCATATACCCCTAGTTTTTAGTTTTTTAGTTTACTTGTAATTAGTTAATTGCAAACGACCCCACAAGCTCATGTAGCTTTAATACTCATCGTTTTAAAATAAAGGCTATCTATCTATCTATCTACACACGCAAGACACGCAAATGACCATGCACGTGGCTGAAGGCGCGAGACGGGAAAGCCTCGTTTTTCGCGCGCTCGCGTGCACTCCCCTCACTGAATTTGGAGAAAGCTATTTCGACCACCTTTGTGGGTGACGATCTTATAATTTTCCATTGCGGAGTTTCAAGCTCTTGTAAGCGAGCCTTTAACTCTATGTTGGTTCTATGCTCTCATTGAACTACTATCGTGTGGTCATTGAATACTGTCGTGGTCATTGAACTGTTGTGTGGTCACTGCAATGATTGTCTTTTAATTTTCTGAACTATGCACACAAAACACAAAAACAAGAAAACAATTTTAGAGTGGATTCATTCATAGTTTCTTGTCAATGATTAAAAGGTCTTAAAACTATTTTGGCAATTCTCCACCTTAACCTTAAAATGTCATTTACAATTATATTTGACATGTAACATATTTCCTTTGAGATCTTGTCGCCATTTTGTGTTGTTATGTCCGCAATTTGTGGCCATTTTTGCGGCTGCTTGATTAGGGGCACGATTAATGGACGACACAGCTAAGCCTCGGTCTCCCCACTCTTCTTCCGACTCTTCTTCCGACTCTTCTCCCGGCTGTTGTTCCGACTCTTCTTCCGACTCTTCTTCCGGCTGTTGTTCCGCCTCTTGTTCCGACTCTTCTTCCGACGTGTCTTCATCAACATAATCCTTAATTGCTCTTCTAACTATTTTTGCAAAGTCGTCTATATCATCTAAATCATCTTCGACTCGGTACCATTCTGATCCTCCATCACAATCAAGGCGAAGCTGTTTTCTATTCAGTTTAGCTTTGGCCGCACCTTCCGCCCTAATCATGTTGGAAACCCACCAGGTATATGCAACTGTCAATTCGTGAGGATTTCCAATATTAAGTGTCTGTCTTCGTGCAGTGTAATTGTGTGTCCAGCCTATCTTCGCGAATGGTGGCGCACTGTAGCCTTCGCAGTCCTCCATAATCATGATATAAACATAGCCAGGGTCAGTTGGGTTCACTCTGTCACTTGATCTGGCCTCATCTCTGGTGGGTTGTAGCCACTTTGTAGAGCTCACATCTGTTTCGTTGCAAGGAAAATAAAAGCAACATGATTTTCTTACTTTAAAATTCCGAAACATCGGGAGTGTAGAGTAGAAGTGAGTTTGATTCAAATAATCAGGATCGAAATTTCTTAGGCTCGACAACAGTTTCTTAGAGTCAATTTTTTAGGTGCGCAAGTACCCTCTAACTCTAAAGAAAAAGGCTCGTCTATTTTCTATTTTGTTTATATGAAGCACTCGGCTGCTAATCACACTGATGCGGTCGTTGCCATGCAACGCTGAATATCCGACATTCCTACCTGGATGCTTACGGATAAGGTCAAACTTAATGATGACAAAACAGAGTTCATGTTGATTGGTACAAAATAGCTTTCCATAGCCTTTCCGTAGGAAGCATTGACGTTGCTCCTGTCACTGTGGCAAGAAATTTAGGGACATGGTTCGATTCTAACTTGAATCTCCAGGGGCAGATCCACAATACTTGCAAATCTGAGTTTTTCCATATATACAATATTTGGCGTATCCGAAAGTATCTGTCCCAGGAATCAGAACGCACTTTGGTCCATGCTTTTATCATTGGTCGTATAGATTACTGCAACAGCCTTCTCTTTTCAATTTTTTACCCTCTGTTCGTCTACTTAAACTGCAACGCTTCCAGAATGCAGCTGCTTGGCTTATATCTAATGTTCCTCGCTACAGTCACATAACACCAGTACTATGATCGTTACATTGGCTTCCTGTCAAATTTCGTATTGATTTTAAAATACTTCTTTTTACTTTTAAAGCTATCTACGGTCATGCGCCTGGTTACTTAATTGATTTGATCGCTATTAAAGAACAGCCGCGCGATAATTTCCGTTCAGCTAGCGGTCTTATATTAAAGTATTCCGGTTTAAAACTGAAAACGACTTTATAGGGGACCGTGCTTTTTCATCTGCTGCCCCTAATTTATGGAAAAATCTACCACTCGACACCCGTCTTGTGGACAGTTTCGAACGTTTTAAGAGTGAATGTCCGTAAAAATCAAACAAAAATCGAAAATTCGTGGCCACAGTCAAAAAATCGATTCTGCTCATTTTTTGTCCAGGGAAAGGCTAAGGTACTACCTTCAGTAATATGGAACTAGTTATTTGAAATACGCTTTTCTTTTGAAATAACCGGTTAAAAATAATTTTGGCGTATTTGGCTATGCGCCAGCCCAAAATTTCACTATGTTCAAAATAATCGTGTTCGATCTAAAACATAGTAGCCAGTCTTCTTTTGCTGTAACTATTCAGTAGGGCCTTGTTTTATTAAAATATATGGATAGTTTTCGTCTCAGGTTATTTCTGTAAGAAATAAATTCGAAATCGGAGGGAACATTTACAGCCCTTCAAGGACATGCAAAATTAGGGTTAAATCATCGCGATGGAAAGGCATGTGATAGTGACTGCAAATCGTTGATATTGCTACCATAAATTCCTAAAATACAGTCCTTAAAAGTTACAGTTTTGTTTTTCTGGGATCTTGTAAAGTTTTCGAGCGGGCGCCGACCGAATTTCCATGATATCGCAATGCTGACCTAAGATTTAGGTCACAAACATCAAGGCGTCAGGCGATAGATTCGAGATAGATAAATGACAATTTTGGCTCATTTATAGTCATCTGTTGTTATTGTGTTGCTTAAATGATACAGGAAAGGTAAAATAGTGTGTTTCTCATAGTGTTGCCTTCATTCTGGACTAAAACTGTAGAATAAAGAATCGATTTGCAGATATTCAATTAACCATTGGTTTGAAAGATTTTCTTTACTTTCTTTGATCACAACCCGCGGGGCCGGGTTTTTGAAAGCTACAATGGGTGAAGATAACCCAATGTTACTGCAAAATTTGATTGCAGATAGAAAAGCTGGCTTAAAAAGCAAATTCAGTTTTTTAATTCTTTTTGTCAGTCTAAAATTTGATGATTGGATGCTCTAAAAAAAATAGTGAACATTATCGGATAAAGTGCTTTCGAACAATAGAAAAAGAAACCGGCCCTTTTCAAAAATTTAACGGCTCCGCCGAGGTTAGCGCTAAACCGGCCTTCCATGGTGAAGTAAAATTACGCACACATCTCTGAAGTACATTAACTTTAAATCACAGTCAGAATAAAACTGTTTCTAAAAAAAATATTGTCTTTGCTTCGGAAGGAAGCTAGATCACCACTGTCGCTCCTACTGGCTGGAAATTTAAGATTATAGTTAAGGATTAGCTTAGGTTGTATAGAGCGGTTTTCACTTGACTGTCGAAAGGGATTGGTTTTGGTTTTGGTTTGGTTTTACTACGCCCTTTGGTTGGCTAGTGTATTTACTTTGGTTTTGGTTTTACGACAGTCAAGTGAAAACCGCTCTAAGAAATAATAATAAATTATAATTATAATGATTATGATAAAACATTCGAAATAAAAAAACCTTTCAACTTCTCGAAAAGTACTAAGTAAAATAGTCACACTAAAATGAAAGGAAGGAAGCTTACCAAATGTTCACAGACGATTTTTTGTCTTTACCTCTTGCTGGTCTGCGATGGAATGGAGCTTAACAATGACTTAATCCTTTTAATAGCCGGTGCTAGAGAATAAACGTGACTGGTTTTCTAACCTCACTGTAGCCTGCGAGCAAACTCTTTCCAGGAGAGCTTGCTCGCAGTTGAACCTTACTGGTACCTAATGACCTTAAATGAGCGCAATTGAATAATTTTAATTAACCGTATAACTAGGCTTTTTTTCGCTATTTAGAGAGAGTAATAGTGACAAACCAAAAAAAATCTCTGTTGCAAGGTATAACATAAGTAAAAGAAAAGTAATGAAGTTTAAAATTTGTCAAGAAATTGGGACTAGCTGAAAAGCTAAACGAATGGATGGTTTCCCGGTGCCCGTGTTCATGCAAGTCATCCTGGTAATTATGACGGGTGCATCTCTTTCTTCCAGTCTTTACTTTATTTTGATATGATTGGTTGATCCTGAATGTTTTTTGTGTAATCTTGTGATAGTTATCCTGGATAGTATCGGGTCAAAAGGATGAGCTAAAAACGCTAAATACGCTATTGTCTCTTCATGATATTTTCCCTTTTTCGTATAGAATATTTGTAATATTTCACCCTGTGAAAATTTACTAGTACGTAAGGATCTAAGACCCAGGGGTGTTCTAGTCAATGAACAATTATCTGTTTAACATTATTAGCTAAAAAACGGATTAATATTGCAGCGTACCATGTAAATGAAATAAAAGTTGAAGTTAAAAAACTGACAAGACGTTTAGACTTGCGAAAAGCTCAATCAAGTGGATGGTGTACCGTGTCATTTGTGAATGCAAATCGTTTTCGTAACTATGGCTGGTGCCTCTAAATTTCTACGAAAATTTGCTTTATATTGCACTGATTCAGAAAACTAGGTGTCATTCTTAGACTCACAAAGCCACGTGACTGCTCTGAAGTAGGGAGCTTAAGCAACACAGCGACGACGACGACTATGAAAACGTCACTTAAAAAGTGTATTCGAGCTGATTCAAACTTCATCACCCTTATTCCACCTTGTCAATTTGTCAAATGTTGGCAAATTTTTCTGGAGTTGAATCTACTAGTGCGTTTCCCGAGGGCGCAGCCGGGCGGTTGTGGGGTTGTGGGGTTGTGGACTTTAAAAATGGTTTACCTGGTGCCGACTCAGTACTTTTTCATACAGTTACAACTCATCAACCATTTTTTTAATGGTTACTTTAACAATTAAACGAGAAAGGAGTTAGTAACAAAAAAGTGTAACCATGTACAGCACAATCTTAATTTTCGCGTGTTTCATTTACTTCAAAAGTTTCTCCTTCCTCTCCTTACGGCTGTTTAGAACCTTTCTTTAGTCATTGTTGAATGGAAAATTCAAGCGAGGAATTAATATCAGAAGCAAGAGTACTACAAAAGAGGGTCTTACAACACGAGCCCTCGAAGGTTTGTTTTTCTCTCTGTTGAAACCTGAGGTTTGAAACATGTGCTTTTCCAGTCTATGCTATATGCTTTATTGAAATTGCTCACCTGACGATAAATCAAGTGGCGTTTAGATAAAAGCGTTGGACAAACTGAAAATGGAATAGAACACGGTTTTGTTAAACACAGGTTAAAATCTGTTTAAATAAGTGGCCCTTAGCTTTGGAAACAACATAAAGTGAAACTTAGTAGAAAGAGCTAGAGACGACTAGTCATCCAATATTCGCAGTCAGTAACGTGAAAATGATTTGCACTGAGCACATGGCACCGGCACCGTCGACTCGAGTAGCTAATCCAAATTTTTTGCAAAATTTGTAATTTCATGAAACTTTCTTTTTTTCCTTAACCCTGACATAGAGATTACAGCTAGTCTTAACCTTAAATATGGTTAAATTTCCTTTTATTGAATAACACAATCAGTAAGAAGAAGAAATAAATATGACGAGATTATGAAGGGAATGAACCAGATCAGCTCAACTGACCACAAGAACAAAAACGTTTAATAAAGGTTTGTTTACGTTTAAAGAGAGGCAGCTGTCAAATGATTAGCACTGGCACACGAGGCCTTTCGATTAGTTTTTCAACTTTTTCAAGCCTCTGGCCCAAATTTGTAAATTACTTTATTATAACTAACAACTTTACATTTATTTATATTAACACACCGCAACAGAGATTATTGTTTAGTTTGTCACCATTATGTTGTTGTCGAATAGCTGGAAAAAGTTAAAAAGTTAAACATTTTAATTAAAATTGAAACTCCGGGGCCTTGAGGTCATTAGGTACCAGAAAAACTAAGATAAGGAATTTTTGAATGAATGTCAAATTTCACAAATGACATCTTCCACAATCATAAAATTTTACCTGTGTTTTCATAATTCTTGTGAAATTTGACAAAATAGTCTTTGGTGTTATTACAGATAACTAATTATAATATCTATAGCCCTTGAGAAATGTAAAAAAGAATGCGATATTGTTTATTAAATTATTCTGGTACAAGGCTTTTGTCCACTGAAAATTGAAATTACTCAATTTCCTGATGGGCTCCGTCTTAAGCAAAGTTACATGACTTGCAGTGATTGTACCTTTTCAGTTAATGCTTATTTCTATTTTTCAGTCCGTTTAATCATCATATTTCGCTTTTTTTCGTTTGTTCGTTTTTATTTATCCTGAACACTTTAACTTCAGATTAGCCTGTGTTGGGTAGCTACCTAACGTATACACATTCCTGAATGCCTATGTCATAGAAAATACGTGAGAAAATATCGATAAAGACACGACACTAGCGAATTGGAAAGCGCCAGCGTATCAGCTCAACCATTGTATCTAGAATGACTTTTACAAAATTTCCCTTAAAAAACCTTATATAACAAAATGTCACTCAAAAATTCTTAGAAGAACAATTATCTTAGAAAAACATCGAGTTATGAAGACAAAATAGGGCACCAGTCACAGTATTTACCACGGACTGAACTTGGATTAAAAAGTCATATCGGACACCGACACACAGTCCACTCGATAAGGTTTTTTTAATTAGCTACTCCAAACTTGTTGCGAAATTTGTATCATATTCTTCAATTTTTCTTTTTTTACACAAGGGGTCTTGCAATAGAGATAATAGAGATTATTGTTTAGTTTTCACTGTTGGCCTGTTCATGCATTTCGTGAAAAATAGTTATACATGCACAGTTAATTGTTCAATTGCAATCATGAATGAAGGTCATTGAAGTAAGGAAACCCCGACATAAAAAGGGCTATGTCGTCAATTTTTAGCTTCATTCCATCCAGGACCATCAAGAGGTACATTGGTAAGATTTCTTCCCTTTTTTTCACGTAAATATAATTTTTACGATGAGCACTTATTTGTTATTATTATTATTATTATTATTATTATTATTACTGTCTATTTTCACTAAATGAAATTTTTACTATTGTAAGAGAAAATTGGCAATGATGCCCAAAGCAACCATGAGGCTTATATAACATCATAAGCTTTCTTGACTAAACAGAATTTAAGAGCTGAAGTGTTTGTCAGTTCATCCCTCCCCTGTTCACTCGCAAAACAGTTTGAAACCATTTTAAAGTCTCAACATAACCAATTTATCACACGTCACGCACGATTTAACTGACAATGACAGGGATTAATAGACACCCTGCAGTTTTATTTTTATACAGTCGAATCTCCCGTAAGCGACCACCAAAAGGGCGCAGCTTTAGTGGTCGGTATTTTTATTTGGGAGGTGGTCTATAATGATACTAAAGTCGGACAACAGGGGAACTCTTCCAGGTATAATTCCCGATAAATCTACTTTTTGTAAAAGAATTCATTGAGATGCAACTTCTAAATAACGATATGTGAAGTTCCGCGTGTCCCTCAAATTTCTTGGCTTATTCTTCAAGTAGCGTTTGTACAATTACAGCGAGCATACAGAGCAGACCATGGAACGCCGGCTTACACGATGTAGAAAACAATGGTCACCTGTTCACCACACCACATCACTCCGCCGAAAAAAAAAAAAAACGACAACAGTTTAACTAAAAGTAGTAATTGAAGAAGAAATAGGACTGTAATAGGTCGCTGATAAGCCGGTTTGTTCGTTTTTGTTTTTTATCTGTTTGGTAATTCATGACTTGTGGACAAGGCAGCTACTAGTGCCAGTCCCTCCTGAGTGCTGAATTTTCAAGATGGCGTCGCTTTGTTATTTTCTAGTTTCATCCTATCGTTCAGCACTTTTTGCCCTTTGAAAATGTAACCTAGGCAGTATTTCGAGCTTTTTGATATGTTCTCCAGCTGCTGAACATACTTTACAGCGAAATATGACGGAAAATTCACGAAGAGGACTAAAAACAAACACAAAGGGATCGGCCTGTTTACAAGAAAAAGCTTGGAAACTATAACAAATGTGAGTTTTGTAATTTCTTCCTGTTTCAATGGCCCAAAATGATTATTAGTGTTTTGGTTACATGGATGATAGTAGACTGCAATTTGGCTGTCAGAGTTGTTCTGTCGTATAGTTGTGCGCTGTAGATCAATTCAAAAATGCCCGATTTTTTGCTCGTTTGCGGACACTGAGTTTAGGTCAGATAAAAAAAGAAGATTTTAGTCTTGTCCGTGGATACTTAACAAATCTTATGGTTTTACAAAGTAGTTCTGTGATGTGTTGTATCGCTACAAAAAATAAACTTCGCTCGTTAAATTTGGAGGGTTCTGTGAGTTTCAGAAAATGGTGAAAATTTGCTTATAAAAATGGCGTCCGAGGGGGTCGAAAAAAGTGATGCTCGTATCTCTAATACAAGAGCAGTGAAGAACCTATGTTTGGTATATTTGTCCATTACTCCACCAGACCTATCGATGATGTTAGTATGAACTTATTCTGTCGACCCCCTTCCGTTGACATTTTTAACATTTTGCCCGGTTTTCTCTGACAACCACTCTTAAACAATAATAGTTTGCGTTATTGCGTGAGTCTTGCGTAGCAGATCAAAGTTGTCGCAATTTTTTTATTTCCGCGGAACTCGCGCCATTTGACGACAAACCTGACCATTAATTTTGCTTGCGAATCGCGTGACGAATTTCGCGCATGCACGATAGAAAATTGAACGGTTTTCTTGGAAGCCTCCGGAGAACTCGATTTCTCGGGTAGTTTGGTTCGGTAATTTGTTTGGCAGTTTTTAAGTTTGTTTCGCTGTTTTACCAGTTCACAGTCCCCGCTGCGTAGCACCCTATCCAACATGCTTGCAAATTAAAATGGCGGCTTAAGTTTTTCATCCGAGAATTTTGTGAGCGCTAGAAAGTAAAAAGCTATGATTCTTTCTGAACACGCTTTAAAAGGAAATGGCGATAAACTTGTTAAAGAGTTTCTTAGCATTCTTGAATATGCGACCTCTTGGTTAGACATTCGTGAATGTTTTGAATGAGGTTGGCAGTCGAGAGTCAAAAGAGGGACAGTTTCAGCAGTTTCACAGTTTCTGTACCGCAGCCGGTAAGTTCCTCATTTGCTTGTTATGTCAGTTGTAAAGTTAAGTATTATTGGAAGGTAGCGAACATTAAAGTGAGGTTTCCAGGGGGAGACAATGTTCTTTCATTTTCGCAGCTTTGTCGTTCCATGAGCCCCACTAACCAGTTATCAGCTGTGGATCATTGTGGATCACGAACACAATCGATGAAATCTTGTCGCGAGGAGACAAATAGATCGTTTTCACTGTCACGCAACAAAAAAATAAATTGGAAACCGTCCAGTGGAAGAAGCCAAGAAAATGAAACGTTTTAAAAGACTAATTTTTAAACAATTTGTCCAAGTCTCAGGTCTTTGTGGCCCAAAGTTTCTGGATTATTTGCCGAAACGTTTCACGCACCTTTGTAGAGCTTTGTATGGAGACGCCATATTGGTACACCGTTTTGGTGCACCAATATGGCCGCCGGAAATCAACAAAACATCTGGAGTTCGCTTTTTCTATAAAAGCTCTTTCTTTTCACTCGAGAACTAGCTGATGTGCTCATAGACATATCTTCTAATACTTGAAATAGTTATACTGCTGAAAATCAAGAGGAGAGACTTTTTTTCAACGAGACAGCACTCCTATTTTGGTGTCACGCACTGTGAAAATTAGGAAGTTCAAATTGCTGTATTTTCGAAATGAAACATGTTACAGGAATGGAAACTTGTACAAAGATTTACTTTGTGTTTATCTTCAACCTAGTGTAGATAAGAATTCGTAAAACCTCGCTATTTGACTTTACAATTTGATGACGTCACTATGAAAACCATCTATAGCTTCAAAGCGCCCTAAACAATCAACTCAACAGAATCGTTTTTAGCAGGTAACCTTCCTGGTGTAGTCACAGGGGGCCTACACATCTGTTTATGTAGCTGATTCAGTCATTTTTGTTGAGGAACCTTATAGTAAATGTACTGGATTTACCGTTTGACTCACCTATAGCGATATGTCGGTAACTATGTATATCAATCAATGATAAATAAACGTTGAATTACCTAGGACAAGTGTCCTTCTGTCGTAAGGCACAGTCAACGGCGAACTCAAACTCCTTCAAAAATCGCTCAAAAAACCGCTTTTGAGGCAAAAGGACGACTACATACCACAGGTAAGGTGATTCAACGTTTATTTATCATTAATTGCTAAACATAGTTAGCGATATATCAGTATAGGTGAGGCAAACGGTAAATCCAGTACGTTACATTATAAAATAAGAATCGGCTCACAATCATATCATACTGACAGATTGTGTGGCCTCCCTGTGGTAAAAGTAGCCCTGTTAGAAAAATGACTCTTTCAACTTACTTTTGTTGGACTAATAATATTTACATTGTAAAAACAAGAACTAATAAACTTAAAAATACAGATATATTGATTCGTATTGTAGACCGTCCAGGATAAACAATCTGAATTTGATCATTTCCTGCAATTTGCTGTGGGAAGCCAGACTTGATAATTGACTGTTTGACTATTTTCTAAACAACATACCCACGAGTTTACGATAGTCTTCCTTTGATTTGAACCACCCGGAGGTGGGAAATGGTAATTGGTTCGACATAGAAGTTCAAAAATTTGAAAGAAACCAATTATTGCATCAAAGAAGTAGAACGAAGGTTTTCAATACAGTGTGAATGTCTCCTAACGAACGCTCTCGTAAACGGACAGCGCTGGAGGTTTGCATTCAAGGCAGCCACTCAGGCGTGTGAGGAGAGGAGAGAGGGGCATGCGCAGTGGGATGAGAGGAAAGAGCGCAGAAGGCCTAGGGTTGCGGAGGGAAGCATCAGTAACTACAGAGCTAACTAAGCACGGAATTGATTGATTGATAAGCACTCAATCATGACGATCTTACAAAAAACTAGTGGACTGTAATGGGTCTTTCCAAAGACATGTCTTCCTAAACTAAATGTGATGTTACCTGCGATAGGCTGACTTGGAAAAAGTCACCTCTTACCTTTTATGTCTTTTCTGCTGGCAGAAAACTTAAGAGACACCAAACACTCCCAAAGCATCATGGATAACATCAAGAAAATAGAGCGACAGAGCAGCGATGATTTCGTCTTCCTCATCTTTATCGATGTATCTTTATCTACCAACAAAAAACGCTTGTTACGTATTTATAACAACCTGTTCCGCAACAATTTTCGGGAGAATGTGCTGATGTACAAAAGTGTTCGAATTGAATCTTTCTAGTTTAATTTGCTTTGAAGTTTGACAAATGTTTGCTTTTCAGAAAATCGATTAGTTAAGCCATGATAGTTTCAGTTGCTTACAATGGCGAAATTTAACTTAACATCACTTTATCGAAAACTATCGATGAAATTGGCCGTTTTTATACTAAGGGCCGTATTATCGATCCGTCCAGTCACTGACTCGTGTTATGCGTCAAGAGGGAATTAAACGAGTACAGGCAAGACGAACTACCAGAGGCGAACAATGCGAGGAGGGTCTGAATGAGGTTTAGTGTTATTTACCATAAGTTACATTGGTCTAAACTGTTAATTTGGTCAACTTTTTTAATGTTTACTGTTTCCGAAGGAAATACTGTTAAGCGCATGGAGAATATTTTCTGAAAACCTGAAAAAAATCTTATCTACGCATTCACGACAGTAAAAAATATATTCTTCACAAGGAAAATAAAGGGGAAAATTTTTGGATTTCTCCTCAACTTGCAGACTCTGGACATTTTCGGTAGCCTTCAGAAAACTTTCGAAATAATCTGGAATTGTAGGGAAAAAACTAACGCCGGAAAGTCCTTGATAGAGTAAACAAAATAATATTGGCCTTTTGGAGCCGCTTTTGTTTCTTTCTGGGAAAAGGATACCGTTATAGTGATTTTTTTTTCACTGTCAGTCTCGATTCGAAGTGCCTAAAATAACTGTTACATGTTACAGGGCCTGTGTGATATAGCGAAAATGTTTTCACCATTATTTTGCTTTTTGCAAGTGAAGGCGAATAGGTGTGGATTTGTGCCAGCTTAGACATTTTCGAGTTAAAAACGCTACGTTTCGTCTCTGCTTCTTCTTTTCTTCTTTATCTTACTTGTAGACTGATGGAACCTATTCGTTTTATACGATGAAGACAAAAGGATGATTTCACGTCGAAAGGCTTAACTGACAAATTACGAGCCGGCTTAATTTCCATCCTGCAGTTTAGTTTTAATAGTTTACTCTAAATCCACTTTCATTTTACTAACAAATAAAACACGGATTGTGACAAGGGCATTGTTTATGAAGATTCAGACTATAATTTCTTTGCGTAGCAAGGTCTGAATTTCAAATCGTCAATGTCTAGCTAACTGGAGAACTTTTCAAGGGAAATAAAAAACGTTTACCTCAAAAAATTACCGGGGAAGCTCACCAACTGTTAAGCGTTTCTTTCGTCTTAACTTCGTAGCGGTCGGATGTTTCAACAGAAGAGGCTGAAACTTTTCTGTGGTCTGTGCCCTTCCTGTCATAATAATAATAATAATATAATATAATCAAGAGAGAATGAGCTCATTTTAATTTTGAATTCTCTCTTGCGATGAGGTCTGTGGCCTTCTTGACATTGGGTAAGTGGGTAGTGACCTTTCTCAAGGAAAAGGCTTGACTCAGTGCTATATATGGGTTATAATCAAGAGAAAATGAGCTCATTTTAGTTTTTCATTCTCTCTTGCTAATAACACAGGTGTGGTCTGATACAAACAGATCAATCTGGCCCTAGATCTGAGATTTAAAGGAGTTATTTATTAAAAATCGGTTTTGTTTAGCATAGAGTATTATTTATCAGAAATCGGCAGCAACCCGGGCAAAAGTAGGCTCTTGGGGTGGCCACCCCATTCAGAATATGGCCTTTTGATGTTTTATTGATCAACTCAATCATACTTTAGAGGGGATATAACAGGGACAAACTAAACATTCAACCTAGCTATGACAGCGAAACAGGCTGAGATGTAAGACACTTTCAAACGCTTTTACTAAAACGAACCGTCAGAGGAATCAAGCATTTAAGCTAATCGTGTGCGTGGTGTGTTAGCATTACGAATTAATTATGCAACCCATCTTGATGACTATTACTTGTGCCTCTTAAGTTTTTAAGAATCTTTACAGGGGAACTTGAGTCTTCATTTTTGAACTTACAACAGGGGCACCCAACGACGGTTTACGCCTGAATACATTTAAAAATCATTTTAGGCAATCCAGAGTCAGGTACTTTTAGATCTCTATAAATGCATTCTACTGGCTATAAACCGATTTAAACTTTGTAAATCTTCTGTCGTCCTAGGAGAACTTGTGTCTTTTCGAACTTCAAGGCTTCAGTATTTAATTTTCCCGAAAATTATAGATGCAAATTGACTTATTACGAAAGTGAGAATTTTTAATTACTGATTTCTCTCTGTATCACATTCTCGAATCCGAAAATTTTAGGTTTCCTTTCTTTCCTGTGATAAAAAACCTAACCTGAGGAGTGAAATGTGAAAAATTGAACTTCAAAAAGTCGTAGTGAATTTATTATATAAGCATGGAAAATTGTACATGAATGGAACGGTCATCTAGAAATTTTTAGCCGTTCTCAAGTAATAGAAACAGTGGCACCCAACGACCGCTTTCTTTCTGTAAATTATCTGTTCGGAGAAGCAAATATTGCGTAGAATTTTTCCTGACAGAAAGACAGAATAGCAATTAAGTCTTGTTTTGGCAAGACTGAAAAGATTCTCTCGGTATTGGTCTCTTAGTATTTTACCGGGTTATTACTAATTGGTTTGATAGATGCCTTTCCTTTTGACAAATCCCAATCTAGAGATCTAGCCACGTTGATTCAAGTATATTTTGTTTTCATCGTCTGTCGCTCCAATGATCTTTACGGAGTAACATCAGTTAAGGAAGCCTACAGTGCTGTTATCAGTGTGAACTTCATGGTTTCGAGTTTCTGTGCCATTTTTTCTCATTTGATCATGATTCGAAATAATTCGGTAATTTATTTAGTAAGAAATAATTTAAAAAGAGATACGAGAGCAATCCTTTTTTGAAATTCGTACTTCGATTTCTTAGTGTAATAGTGGCTGAAATTCAAGTCGTTAAAACCCCCGAGTCTCTACCTGAAGTATTTAACCCATGTCCTGCTGAAGTATTTAAGTAAAAAAAAAAATACGTCGAAAAAAAACAAAATCACAAACAAATAAATAAAGAAAAAAACTAGGGATGCTTACCAACTGTTCAGACGTTTTTCGTCTTCACCTCTTATGGTCGGCGAAGAATGGAATGGTGGTTCACGACATAGCCCTGTTTTTACAGGAGATGGGGAGTGATGGAAGAAGAGGTCCTTGAGGCATTGCCATGGGCTAAAAGTATATAGGAATGCTCCGCTGCGAAGGTATGGTTTTCAAAACGATTCATCTGGTTTAGAGTATAGAATATAGAGGGGTTTTGTCTAGCGCAGGGTACTATTTGTTTTATTTAAAAAACTGTCAACCCGGGGCATAAGGTGGTCAACCCATTCAAAATGTCACCAGGAGAGTCTGACCAAGGTGATCTTTAGTTCAATTCGAATTTAATTGATATTCAACTTTATTTCGTCTATTCGACCCCAGAACAATAGTGGCAAACTAATCAACAATCTCTATGGCAGTAAATGTAAACAAAAGAAAAGCTCCACTTTAAAAATTACACTCATTTAATGGATAGCTTATTTGTATAAAACCAACACGTTATCTTTTTCAATTCTAAATTTACAACTTCCATAAGATAGGAAGCATCAGAATGCGAATAGAAGATATTAGTGTCATCAGCAAATAGTATCAGCTCTAAGACCTTTGACACATTACATAGATCATTTATATATAATAAGAATAACAGGGGACCTAAGATAGATCAATGAGGGACTCCGCAAGTGATATCTAATGATGAAGAGTTGTAACCATTATATTGCACAAATTGTGTTCGACAAGAAAGATAACTTTTAAACCATTGTAAAGCAATACCACGTACTCCATAATGTTCTAATTTGTCGAGCAAAATTTCATGATTTACTGTATCAAAGGCCTTAGATAAGTCAATGAATAGGCCTAAAGTTACCCTTTTATTATCAAGTGCATTTGAGATCTTGTCATACAATTGGATTAAAGCATGTGCAGTAGAATAATTTTTTCTGAATCTATACTGATTCCGGGATAAAATATCATATTTATTAAAAAAATTAATGAGGCGATTGTAGGCGATTCTCTCTAGGAATTTAGAGAAAACTGGTAACACTGATACGGGTCTGTAATTTGTGAACAAAGATTTATCACCAGATTTAAACAATGGAATAACTCGTGCAATTTTCATCTATTGGGGTACAACTCCAGAATTAAGAGACAAGTTAATTATATACGTCAATGGTGCGCAGATTAAGTTAAAAGACTCTTTAACAACATTCATTGAAATACTATCATATCCTGGAGCAGTACTGGATCGAAAGCTGCTACAAATCTCAGTGACTTCTTGTTCTGATGCCGATTGAAGAAAAAATGAATTAATAAAGCCTCCATTCAGACGCCGGAATTGATTTAGCTAAGTTAGGTCCAACATTCGTAAAATACTCGCAAAAACGGTTTGCTATATGAGTAGGATTAAATATTTCTTCTTCATTAGATTTGAAGATGGAAGGCAACTTACACTTAATTTTCTTTTTGTTTAAGTGCTACTACGATCAAAATTTGACGTCAAGTTTGTCACAAAACGCTTTCTTTTCAGCTTATCAGAAGTGGCTGTACCTGTTTCGGTCATTAAAATGAACTTTAGTGCCCTCTAAGTGAAAATATTGAGCTTGAAAATGTAGGTTTTTCGCGTCCGCCATTACAAATTTATGTTCCAGTGACAAAGCTATTGTTCTCTGATTGTGACGTCATTTTCTGAACACGCCAAGGAAACAAACCTGAACCGTGAGAAAACTGCGCGCGATTCTCAAAGCTTCGCTCGTCTTCGCCCGATTCTGGAATTGGGAAGGAGGAAATCGTATATTACGATGACTCTGTAGAACCAGCACTGACTGAATATGAGAAAGTCAAATACTAAGGGCAGCTAGCCTCCGAGAAGGAAAAAAAAGACACACTTCACCACGTCGTATTTTATGCAGTTTGTGCCGACGGAGATTCGGACTACTGGTAGGTGTATTTGTATACGTACTAGCTATAATAATAATACACAGGCAAGACGATCGAGAGTCCGCACCAATTTCACCTGCCTTCTAGCCACTCTCGAGTGCTCATTTATCCAAGTGTAGATAAGTTTTGCTTCGTAGCTCTTCAGGCACAGCGAATCAGAGTGGGTACAGTTTTCAGTTCAGCTAAGTTTCAGTTCTAAAGCAGCCAGCTCGTTGTCATATGCGTATGTTTTTTTACCATCTTAAACGGACTGCTGTCCTTTATTATTGAAAATTTAATTGTTGCTTTAGTGTTGCGTATCTGAGCTGAGGATTTTAAAATTAGATCTAATGTTAAGTTCTCTTTGTCCGGAAAGTTAATTTACTCATTTTCAGTATAAATAGATAAATAAGGGGATCGCTCGCTCTTGATTTGGTATATCAATTTAATAATTTTCAGTGCTGACATTAAAGACTGTCACATTCTTTGCAGCTCATGTTTTTTTGAAAAGGCTGTGCCTTTCCTATCGATTGACTGCAGATCATTATTGCACATAAATTGCAACGCTAATAAAAATGCAGAGATTTCACTTCATCCAACTATTGTCAATGATATCCCCTGGCATTCCCATAACTTTTATAGATAACTTTATGAAATTGTTGTATGTGACGTTCTTTTTAAATTTATTTATTATTCAAACCCAGGTGTGCATTTTTTGGATGCTCTCTTTACTGGGACCAGCTTTGAAGCTTTGGCTAGACAAGAAAATATATACAGTGGAAAGGTTAATACAGACATATTATGATGTCTATATTATCTGGGTGTCCGTATTATCCGGGTGTCCATATTAAGTTAGCTCTCTGGAAAAAAGTCACAGACACATGATTTATTTCATATATAGCATAAAGGAACAAGGAGGAAGAAGGGTAGGAACAATGACTGTAGCAAAAAGCCAAGGACGTGAAACTTGTTGAGTAGGAGGCAGAAAATTTATCAAAGGACTACAAACAGGGGAAGAAAGAAAGATGTATCAAAATCAAATGTGTCATGCTATTTGGCTGCAGATGTTTTGGTAATAAAATCTTATTAACCCGTGAACTTGGTACAATGTCTACAATTGGCACATCATTGTGACAAGAAACATAGAAAGTGCCTGGGTAACCAGTGTCTGTAAAGCTGGATTAAGAATATATAAGAATTTCTGACTTGAAACACAGAAAAGTGGTTGTTGTCCACATTAACTACTGTGCTAACTACTGTGCGTACTAAGGCGGTTAATTTTAAAGAAAAAATGTATGCTTTTCCTCAGGACAAACAAAACTGCCTGTTATATATGGTTGTCCAATTAAGTGGGTGTCTGTAGATCATAGAGTACTGGGTTATCACTGCAGTAATAAATTATTATTTGCAACTAACTTTATGTATTGAAAAGCTAAATGGTTCTGTACATCACTAGGTTGCACAATTCTGCTGATAACACAGTGTGCCATAAATTCACTGCCTCTAGGAAGAAGTGTTACACAGTGGAAATTATGTTCATCATGGAGGCCCATCCTTGATTGTGCTCTGTGGGTTTTTCTTGCTGGTTTTTTCCACTGTAAAATATTATTAGAAACTAGCATTTTTAAGAGTTAAAACCCCTAAGAAGGCCTGGGAAGCAGTTTTTAACGTGTGGGGGCCGGTGACCACCTACATTGAGGTGGGGGGGGGGGAAAAATTTGGCTGTTCTCTCTTTGTGGCTGTTTAGAACTGTCAGATTACTGAACCTTTCTTGAGTCATTGTTGAGCAGAGTCATGTTCATAAATTTCAAGCCGCTGAAAAGTACCTTTCTCCTGCTGAGCGTGATTGCACATGCTGAATCCACCACTAGAGGTTTGCAGATCATGATATTACACTGTAGGTTCCTGTAATGCCTTCATTTTGTCTAGCATGTCATTGAAATGTGCCAGAGACCACATCATCAGCTGATATAATTCGTTTTAAGAAACCGTAGTTCATGGAGTAGTCTTCAGATTTAATCAAGAACCTTCATCAAAAAAGACTATTCCGCGTTGTTGCAAATGCTACATAGTTTTGCTGGATTGAAAATGCAGAAATCTAGGACGATTGACTTTTTGAGGCTTGCTGATGGGATCAAAGCGGACCAATAATAAATTTAGATGCTGGAAGATTCTTATTCCAACAAAGATACTATTCATATGAAAATGTATATTACAATGGAACCTCTATAACGAAGTCCTCGGTCTAACAAAGTATTTTTTTTTTCACTCCAGTAATAGTAAAATATAAGGCCATATGAAAAAGAACCTCGATAAAAGTTAACAAACCTCGTTATAATAAACATATTTTGCCAGTCCCTTGGCCCTTCGTTATATCAAGGTTCCACTGTACTTAATTTTATTTATTTATTTTTCAAAAAGTGGGGAAGCCCCTTCGCCCTGCATGGGCCCTGCCCTAGCTTGGCTCAGGCTATATAATACCCCCAAAATGGACTATGCTAAATCAGGCAACAAAGAACAATAAAATTGCAGCCTTTAAACAGTATTAAAGCCCTTGGCTTGTTTATTGTAATCACTGATATGACTAAAAAAAATGGATTTGTATATTGCACACGGTACGTAAGACCTAAACTTGTCCTCCAGGTTCTTAGCTGGGGCCTCACATTTATCTTGTGATCAACTAGTGTGCAGATTATTCGTGAAAATATTATCAATTAGCGTAGCCGTGTTAGAAGTTATTCTTGTCGGACGTGTGATCAATGGACAAAAACATTCTTGAATACATAGTTTCTAACAATTCTCCAGTTGTGTCGTGACAATGGTGGTTGATTAAGTCTAGATTCCAGTCACCTAAAACATAGCAAATCTTGTTTTCCTTAGAGATACTTGCAAGCAACGAATCCAGGCTTTTCATAAAATCTCGCAAATTTTGATTTGGTGGCCTGTAAACCACACCTATACAATTATATTTTTCTCTTTCGGCCTATTGATTTCCACTAACAAAGACTCAGCACATTCAGTGCAAGAAAAAACTAAGTCAGGTCGACATTTAAAATAAAAATTGTCCGCTAAATATAGACCTACACCTCCACCTGTCCTATCTTTACGTGGATTGTGGACAAAATTATAACCTGAGATACTGGTATGATGCGATGAGTCTCGAGGCCAGGTCTCAGTTATACCAATTACAGAGAACCTAAACTCTAGATTCTTTAGCAAAGTGGTTAAGCTATCCAAATTACGATGAAGGCTACGAATATTAAGATGCAGAAGCGATAAACAATTATTGACTTCTAATATATTTTTCTGATGCAACATTTCATTGAAGTTTTCTTCGGTATAATATTCGCAGTCAACTAACTCCGTGAAGAAATTAGCATCAGGATCATGATGGCTAGAAAGGCTAAATTTTTTATAGGTTTCAGATAATAAAGGATTAAACCTGAGGCTAGCTAACCTAATTGGATCGTAACGTATAGGTCCATTTAACTGCTCAAATATAGCCAAACGAAAGTCTTCTTCGTTTAAATGAATAAACCGTAATTCTTCCATTAATGAGTCGAACAAAAAACATTGTGCAATATACTTATCTTAATCATTTGAAGAACCGGAGGGCTTATCACGAATGATCAAACGATCTAAGATAAAATATGCTGATTTTCCTGCTTGCTTGGCCGCCTTGAGCTTCTCCAAATGAGGTTTCCTCTTTTCAAGCGTCGCTTGCGAAAGATCTTCGCAAATGAACAGTCCTTCTGGTTTTTCCTTTCTTGCCTTTCTTACTACAGCTTCTTTCTGCTTCCAACTACTCAGTCGGCACACAATAACTCTAGGCTTTGCATCAGCTTGGTGTTGATTGATTCCTCCAGACTTTCTACGCTCAACACGGTGAGCGCGCTCGATGTCAACTTGACCCAACTTCAATGTTGAGCTTCTCCTTGATGGCGTCCTTCACGTTCGTTTCAGCCATTTCCTAAGTCTCGCCAGCCGATTCTGGTATACCGAATACTCTGATGTTGTTCCGTAACATTTAATTGGGTATCAAATGAAGGTTTTTAAAATGTGTAACACTAAGGTAAAAAAAAAGTAAAGCCACTGGATGTAAAGGCAATCCCCCAATCCACTTGGTGTTGTTTATCACGATGCACAACGTTGTAAAGCTTAACAGAGACTTCGCGCACGAACTAAGCTGATTACGTTGCTAACTCGTTGCCGCAAACATTATTACTTGCTTAGTAATCACCACACCCAAACAATCTAAGATAACCGAATCGTTGGCGGCCCCTTGAGCTGAAAGTTTTCGTCTGTGAGTAATTGGCGGCACGCATGCGTTTTTTTTTAAATGACGCAGTGCCTCGGGTGGGAAGATACAACAAAGCCCATTGCGTTCTCTTCGCCATTTAGTAAGAACTGTGTATGCGGCCCTATAGCAGTTGATTGACAGCATTCCTCCGCGTCTAATTAATTGCTGCAGAGCGACCGAAGGGAGCGAGCAGTAACATAATCAGGATTTAAAGGAAATATATAAGGGGCGACGAATTCTCGAATTCAGCACTTTTTACCACAATGCATTGCATTTAACCACACTTTTTACCACAATGCATTGCATTTAACCAGAGTGCATTGCGCCACCAACAACTCAAATAAAAACACGGGGAAGTTCGGTGGGTGAGAGAGTGCATCGTTCGCTGCTCAGACTTAGAGTTTTCTTTGTGGCAAATTTTCTACAGCACGGTTAGAGGTCTTACCAAATTTTAAGACACGCAGGAGTCTTTCAGATGAGTACGATGGTTAACTTGGGGATTGGATTTCAATTCAAGAGCCTTTTTTGCTCTTCGACTCCGCAACACGGGGGATATACAAATTCCAGCTTGCTAGAAGGTGATGTGAAAGTGAGAAAATGTCATGCAATGCTTTTCTTAAGAAACTGTATAAGCCGAAAATGGATGTGATTTTGACCATTCGCTTCAAAATAACAGCGGAAATCGAGGTTTTGTGTCCTACTTTGCAGACGAGGACGTGTATCGGCGTTTTGAAAAGCATAATTATGTTCTTTCATTCATTTATTGCCATGGAATATGCGTTTACATTGTTTTTTAACTGTTAATAGCTCGGTTAATGCGGCTGGCGATTATCTTGCCGGCGGAAGTTTCATGGAAAAGGAATAAAATGAAAGACTTTTCCTAAGGACTACGTATTCAGTCTCTGTGGTGTAGTGGTTAAGTGTAGGCGCGTCAAGTCGAAGGTGTCAGGTTCGAATCCTACTGAGTTACTTGTTCCTTCTTTCTTTTTTTTCCCCGTTTTTTGTGTTGTTGTTTTCTATAAATATATAGCTAAATAACTGTTACTTAATAAAGTGTAACAAACAGCAAGAAAAGTATTGTGTTTCCAGAGAAAATATCGTGCACCGTATATTTAATATATGGATAAACGATCTGAATTTCTATTATTTCCTACAATTTACTGTGGGAAAACCAGAGTTGATAACCACTTGATCATTTTCTAAACAACGTTCCCACGAGTTCTTTCTATAGACTGATATTAATTATTCTAGTACTTTCCAACATGCAAATAGGACATTCAATGTCATTTTTGATTCTTTTAAGTCTCACCGGCCTAACTAATGCCAGTATCAACAGAATGTGCCGCAGCATTACTATCTTTTAGATACCCTAGTTTATACACTTTAAGTCGAGTAATAGAAAAGTATTGTATAGTAAAGCGTCTTTTTATGCCACTCAGCAGGAATCTACTGATTCAAGCAGTCCACAAGCGTCAAGAGAGTCTTGGTTATAAATAGTGTTGGGGTCACAGTTGATGTCATAAATGCAAAACATTTCTCGACCGATTTCCAGTATTTGTGGAACGAGAAAAATGTGTTTCTTACATCTGATCGTGCCTACCTGTTTAAGGGCCCACCCACGGCACTTCTTGTTTCTCTCACAAACAGAGAAGCAGGTCTTTTGTTCACTCCAAAAGGTAGCACTTCTATTGACCCGCTTACAAAAATCAGTTAAAACGATATCGATCTGGCGGTGTATTTCTGAACGTTGAAGAGTTTTGTAGAGGGTGACAAACAAAGCAAAAACCCGTTCATTACTGGTAAAGAGGCAAAGAAACGTCATCATCTGTAAACAATCCCAAGAACTGACTTAATTCGCACTTAAAATAGGGTTCGGTCAAGGGGTGCAATCTAGCTCGACTTGTGACTTAAAATTAACTGGTAAATCACCAAGACCCTGTGATCAAAGCTGTCCATTTGAAAACTGTACCAAGGCCATGCGATGTTTGCTTTATTTTCTCATTAAATAGTATCTTATCTCGGGCTAATGTTGAGTACTTTTAGATCTCAGAGTGGAATAAAAATACATATTTCGTTCACGAAGAAATAGATTCTCAGCAGACTACAAGAAACTATGAGGACGTTACGTTCAGAGTATACTTGTAACAGTAAACCAGTACTAAGACTATGTTAACATTATTTTGCGGTGTCCGAGATCTAGTGCCTAGGTATCGGCAGAAAACGGTGTGTTCACAGATTGGGCAACTGGTTAGTGTAACTGTTTGCGCCATTTCGAAAATTGATGAGCCGGAATAAAAATTCATATTTCTTTCACGAAGAAATAGATTCTCAGCAGACTACAAGAAACTATGAGGACGTTCAGAGTATACTTGTAACAGTAACAGTAAAGTAAACGTGTAACTAGCGTAAGGTATTGTGGTATACCAAGGAGTAAACAGACTGTGATCAAAGTGCCTGGAGGGCTCAGGCTAAAGAAAACGTAACAGTAAGGTGGGCACCGGGTTTGTGAACTAAAGCACCGGTCCTAACTTGTTGAACTGAGGCCCTTCTGGAAAACACAAGATAAACTAAGTCTTTCCGCAAATACACGTATTGTTGCCCTCTCCTTCCCCCCGTGTTGGTTTCACGGGTTTGCTCAGTTGCACGTACTCGTAAACGTAATCACTGAAACGTCTTCGAAATCAGCATTGAAGAAAAAAGGACAAAGCAATCGTCAAGCACGGCCTTTCAACAATTATGACCGGGAATGTAGTTCCTTACATTCAATCTATGATTACATTTAATACTGTACCTTCCAGTTCTTAAGGAAATGTTTCTGTGTTTTTATTGTACTGTGCGCATTAGCTCGCATCGCAATTATCAATCCCCTCTCGTTAAGATGAGCACCTCTATGAGACGAGCATCTAGTGGTTTTCCCGGCTTCCCTTCCGTTTCTTAGTCGTTCTAGTGTAACTTAACTCTCTACCAGACGGACAGTTCCCTAGCTAAGACGGAAAACTGGAGCTGTTCCCATGGCGTCTGTCTGTCTGTCTGTCTGTCTGTCTGTCTGAGAAGGTTGATTGAATTGTATCCCGGTAACGACCAGACCATGGTTTCAAATAGCGTCGAGCTACTTTAAATCGTTTCTGCTGATAAGTAGGTAACACTGCAGCATCTCGCTAATCCTTTAAACCTTAACAATGATCAGAATTGAATCTATCCTTGTTACATCAGTGTTTTATAAAACAGTGTGGGCAGGAGTAGCCCACGAGCTGTCGTTCTTGTCTCCTCGGAGCCACCCGCGGCTAGCGAAAAAGTAAAATTACGCGTGCTCTCGATCTTCTGTGTCTCAAAAGAAAAATAAGAGACTTCTTGCAGTCCAGGTCAGGTGAATTAAGGAAATGATCAACACAATATGAATTTAATTTATACATTAACTACTCCTCATTACTATTTCTATGGGAAATGCCTTGAGACAACAGATGAGAATTGAAATTTAAAGGGAAAGGATTTTAACGGTAAAACTGCATTATACGACAGTTTCTCTCTCTGGCGGAAGCTCATCTGAAGTAAGCTGCATTTCTACGATACTTGAAGTCTTTTTCTTTCTAAGGCAACATAACGCAAAGAGTATAGTTGCTCCAATAAATAGATACATGGCTGACACAGCGAATGCGGGTACGTAAGAACCCGTCTTGTCAACGATTAGTCCTAAAAATAAAAGAGACAGAGATTTAGTACTCCATTCATTCACGTGACACTCCAGATGATTTATATAAAAACTATCAAGAAAAAAAGTAGACACTGTTTTCACTGCTAACGAGTTTCGGTATTCCGGGTTACCAATGTCTCACTCCCAGGCCCTCACCCATCGCCACAAAAATCTGCATTTAATAAAGCTCACGTGACCATTCCGAGAAAGGCAAGAACATCAGCAGTAACTACCTTGGTTAAAAAGTGATTAGCAATCTTAGAGCATTTGATTCGCGAAGAGTTGTTACGGCTTTTCTAAACACAACGGGAGTAGTGATAGTAATAGCAATAGCTGTTTGCCCATTTTAAGGACTAACGCCCCTTATAATTGCCATTCCCGGCCCTTCTCCGTAAAATCGCCCTTTCCGTTGGCTAAACTGGTAAATATGACCCTTCTTCCTTCCCTTCCTCGTGTATCACTTTTATTGTAAGGATATTAGAGGCATCAAGCTTCTTTTGTAGCGAGACGTTTTTCTTGCTATCTGAAAGAGCAATTCCTTTAGTTGTATTGTCTGCTAAAACACGTTCCCGTGGGAAAAACGTAATAAAATAAGCACCCCCTGAAATTGTAACAAGTGCCCAGACAATTAATCGAGTCCCCTTATATTTGCTAAGCCTACCAGCAATCGGTGGCCCCGCTGCTATGCTTGGTGATGTTACTGCCAGCCAGAAGCCAATAGCTTTTGAGGTGAGATGAGGTTTGACGGAACCCACGACCTGAATGTTAACTGTGCTACCAAACAGCCCATCACAGAAACCATACACCAGGGAGTAGGCCAAGAAGTAAGAGTACGAGTCTGCGCGCGATAGAACACACATAGCGGCGCCGTTGATGTAGATGGCAGCTTGAGTGATTAGCTCCACTTTAACACATTTGAAGTCACATACATGCCCAACAAGGATTCTTGCTACAGCAGAGGTGAGGCCGATGTAACAAAAGAATATGGCTGACTCATCGGGCGGTACTCCCTTTTGCTCTGCATACTTTACCTAAGGAGTATTATGCAATATACATATTCAGAATGATATAGTCGCTGTAAAATAAATTTTCGTACGGTATGTTTTGTACCCAATAAGAAATCGCGAACGATGCCAGCAGCAAAATCGGCTCCTGGCGATGTATGATTTAAATGTTTTGTTCACTGCAAATGGATTTACCGCCAGTTTTCCCCGTTTTTTGCCTGTTCATAGCGTCCAAACGAGAGTGACTAGTTGTTTGTATCGGAAATTTAACTCGCTCGCAAATCCGTCGCACGTTCCACTTCTGACACGAACTGACTCACCATCGAACAAAATCACAAAAACCCCTTAGTCTACGACAGAGTGATAATTTCTGGAAGGCACATCTATGGGAAAGAAGCATGGATGCTGGGTCTACCGTTTAACGTGTGAACTCGGCTGGATGACGCCATTTAGAATTTGCTATAGTAAAGCTCTGCGCATGGAACGATGTTAAAACCACTGAGAAAAGTTAAAATTCAACCTGCATTGTCGCTTCTGTGTGAACAACGCAAAAATATTTAAAAGTCCCGTGTGAACGAAGAGTCCTGTCAAATTTTTCAGCCGCCCTAAGGTAGGAGCCCATAACTCGGGGCGAGCTACTCTCATAGGTCCAAGTCACGGCGCGTTCACAGACTGATTTTATTTTTAGATACACTCGCTTAGAACATTTTTTCCTTCGTAAAAAGGAAGCTCCGTTCCTTCTATGAGCGCATTCGAAATTTAAGATATCAAATAAGAACTACTAAACGTCACTTTTAGATCTGTAGGTTTTGCTGATAGGTTTGTGTGAGTTCAAAGATATTTTAGATTTGCCCCCAAAAATCGTTTTAAATATAAACTGATCGATGAAAACGCCGTGACAAGAAAACAAAAACAGAAAAAGAAAGAAAAAACAAACAAATGTTTACCAGTAGAACTTGTGGAACGTATAATCCTAGGTACGCTACAGCTGGACAGGCTGACCAGATAAGGAGTACTGGATTTGTGAAGATGTTCCTCGTCCACGATGATTTTTTTGCACATATTGCATGAGGTTGTTTTGTGTTTGATACTACCCCAAAATCTGAAATCTCTTTTGCTGTGAGTGGGTCATAAATTAGTGCAAAGAGGCAAATCAATGCAGCCAGTCCTGCCATAGCTATGAACGCCTTCCTCCACTGCAAAGTGTCCAATAAGAATTGTAGAAAGGGGCCCATCACCAGTAAGCCTCCTGCAGGACCGCAGGTAATAGCACCTGTCGCCAAAGAGCGCCTTTTTAAAAAGTATCGAGGCACGATGACAAAACTTGCGGTATAAACACAGCAAATGCCAAAACCTACTATCACGCTGAATGTTAGGTACATACAATATATGCTAGGCGCTTGTGACGTCATTAGCAGTCCTATAACACATGTTATGCCACCTGAAATAGTTGTGGCACGACAACCATAACGGTCACAGAGACTAGAGGCCACTGGTCCAAGAAGACAGCTGACTGACATGCACAGGGATCCCACATAAGCTGCAGAGGAAAATAGCAACAGCGGCCTCAGTTAATTAACAGGTTGTGTAAATTTTTCGTTTTATTAGGCTGGTGCTACGTTTTGCCGAGTTCGGAGTTTGGGAAAAAGAAAACGAGGCCGGATCGGTAATGAACAGCACGGGTCGAGAAAACGACAGTAACAAGGGGCTGTTCACACTTGATGCCCGAGAACTAGTGCCTAGTTACCGGCACAAAGTAGTGTGTGTGAGTACACGATTTGTAACTGTGGACATATTTGTTTCATTTTCCTCTGTGAGACGCGAACCCAGAAAGTTATGTGGAATTTTTTGGGACTAAAAGAAAGCGTGCGCACACAGTGACCCATTGCCCACTTAAGTACACAGGTACTATGTCTCTACTTGTACTCAGGGACCGCCACTGTGCACTGGCGTGGGTACTTGAAAAACCACTACGTTCACATCAGAATCGGCCAAGCGAGAACTGTACTCGGGCACCGTGCCCGGGCATCAACAGCACATTTTGAATTTCAGAAAATGTTCCTAGAACCGACTTGAGAGACGAATTCGGAGAGGTACCTACAAAAAAAGACAATTGCCCCAGCCTCAAGGCTATATTTAGACCAGTCCAAACTCTTCCTGTATAAATAAAAGGAAATTTTAACGAGGGAATCGTTTAAGTAAAATTTGGACAGAATTCTTCATTTTCAGAGACAAGGTCCAAACTGTTTGATATTTACTAGCCTGTTCCAGGCTCTCAGATATTGGGGATCACGCGTAAGTGAAAGGCACGCGAAAATATGAGAAAATATGAGCGCGTGATTATTCAACTGCGAGGATCATTTCCACTTTCATATATCTTTATCCGCAGTTAATATGAGTCATCTCATGTATTTCCATTCAAATAGGATTTAGATTAGCAAAACCCAACAACTTTTCTCGTATATACTTTACCCTTTTTTGTACATTTCTTCTTCGTCTTACGACGTGAAACTTCCTAACTTCACGTTTTCTGTTAAACGTTTACACAAGACGAAGGTTTTCCTTTTCTTTTTCTTAACTTAGATACAGACCTTAAGGATTCATTATAAGCTCCAGAAAATTCGCTAACATTTAACAAATTGAACTAGATGGAAAAAGAGCGTTGAAGTTTGAAATGTGCGGTTTAATCTTGGTTGCTTATTAATAAGTTTTTTAATGCAACTCCATACCATCAAATCCGTAAATTTGTATGGAACTTTTTCGACGAATAACTGAAATTCAGTTTCTCGCACGAATCGACCCAGGACTTAAAAAAGTTACTCATTAATAATCTTCTATGATATCCCAATTTCTTGACTTTATTCATCGAAAGGTTGTGGATGCCATTCACTTTCATTATAATCTGGAGGAAGCCATCTGTCTGTTTTTTTTTGCGTGTTTTAACATTTTTCTTTTCCTATCCGGATTCAGTCTCGTACCCTGAAAAGAGGGCAGCTAATTATGTTTTGTTACATTTCTTGCAGGTGGCGGGAATATTTATTCAAAGCAACCATGGTACACCGCAATTAATATTTAAAAGTGTAAATAAGAGATAAAATAAAGGAAGAAAAGAAGTTGAAAGGTTGTGTAATTTACCTGTTGTAGCAGTATCCTCTTTGAAATGATCGAGAAGAGGGGGCAAAAGTAGTCCAAAGCTGTATGAATAGCCGCAAACTATGATGTTACAGATCACTGCAGCTAAACAAACTGTGTAAGATTTAAACCCATCGGGCTTGATACCAACTTCATTTAACTTGCTCGAGTTGCCTTCCGCTAGATGACAGGAACTTTGCTGCTTGCTGCTTTGGTATTCCAAAATAAGCTTCTTCATGTCGCTGCTGTTTTTACCAATGCCCTATTTGTTTTTCTTCATGGATCATAAAAGGTGATTGCTAACTAACCTCGCACTTACCGGCAGGGCGTTACAAATGATCTAATCTAACCCTGCTGGGTAGCGGTATGTATGAATGCCGGCCAGTGTTCGAGAAAAACCTGTTTGCAAAACAAGGCCTTCTTCTTGGGCTATTTCTTTTCAGACAGGAATGATCTGATAGAAAAACGGCATTAATTTGTAGAGATCCATCTACAATTGTCTCCACCCTTTCAAAGACTTCTTTTATCATTATGGCAGTTAATTATAGCAGACATTCAAAGAATAGACTTATTTCAGTTTTACCACTTCGGCACTCTCCTTTGGAAACGGTCAGGTTTTTTCTTTTCCATAAAGTTGTCGTTATGGATGAAATATCAGCGATACTTTTTAACCTGGGTTTTCCGCCAAACTTTGTAGGATAGACTTACGTCAAGTACTTGCTTGTAAGATAGGATATAAAGACCCAACGGCGACCTGCTCTTGAAAAAATAAGTAGGGCTTAATTAAGGGGAGCCATACTTCAGGCTGTTAATAGGGTAGTGATAAGCCGGGCAGTGGTGAGAGCAATTGTTTCTCTTTCCTGATTAATATGGTCCGGGTTCTTATCAGAAGCTAACTTTTGGGTTCAACCTGATCTGTTGCTGGTTTTCCCCTTCAGTCCGTGACGTTTTTGTCCGGGTCCTCCGGTTTCCACTTCTACACAAAAACAAACAAGCCCTGGCATACCCACAATTTCAATTTAGAAAGTGAAATTTAAGAAAATGATGAAATCCCTCTCATGAAATGTTGTAGCCGGACTTGATGAAATTTAATATCTCCACTGAATCTTTTAAAGATTAATTGCTCCTGCACTACTCCAAGCCTAAAACAAACAAACCAAAAAAGCCTACATTTAGTGCTACATGTTTACTCTGGAAGTTTTTGAAAGGATGATTCCATGCGGGGATGCATGAATGTATCATACATACGTGACTAGTATTATCATATAAGAGTTTAATGTCTATCTGTCGAAATTAAATTTTGTTTTCTTAATAATGTATTCTCGGTAAGTCATTTTATTTGACTCGAAAACGATAGCTGAATTTGAATCTAATTTGAAGTACTTACTTGCATGTCAAGGGAGAATGTCAATTTATACTTAAAAATTAATTTCCGAGCGGAGGCTGGATGGGAAGAGGACAGCTGCGAAACTGGCGTACCGATAAAAGGTACGCACTTAACGATGGATGAAAATTACACTTCATAATAAATGAAAATGAAATATTTTCGGCAAATCTATAAGGGTTCCAAAAAACCAATTCAAAATTCTAAATTTCGCTATCTATAGACATCGTGCAATAAACAGTCTTGGACTCTGGATTCCATGCCATGGATTCCGGATTCCAGTTACTAAATTCAGGATTCTTGGTCAGTGGAACATGGATTCCGGATTCCAATCATTAGTGGCATTCCGGATTCCAAAGCCCAGGATTCAGGATTCCACAAGCAAACGTTTTCCAGATTCCGGAATCCGGATTCCCTCACGTGGGGCGATAACTCGATTCTCCAGACTGGATGATGTCAATAAAATTTAGGTTTCTGGGAAAATGCACACCTACCCCTCCCCTAAGCCGTCATTTTGCCCTAAGCGAGCACTAAGTGTTAATGTTAGCTTAGAGGAGGGGTAGGTGGGGATTTTCCCAGAAACCTAAATTGATACAATGATTTTAGCTAGAGCTCGAGAGAAGTGGATATCGAGTGTTACTCAACTTACTTTTACTGAATCGCTTTGCATGTCAATACAACAAAAATTCATTTGTATGTTTCTTTTATTATTAAATTTACATCAAGCAAATTCGAAATCCTCTATTTTTATACGTAAACCGGTTGCAATGTTCATTTCTGAGTTTTATTTTTATCATTTTTTGCCTGATACTTTACAGGAATCCATGCAGAAGACCTCTTCATTGCAGTACTTGTTCCCAGGACAGTCTCGCCGAAATAAAGAGCAAAGCTCATACGAGCCGCCATAATCACTACACAGTCTCAGGTATAGCCGACATTCACGGACACATGGTTTATAGTTAACTGTCGAAGGAAGCCTATTAGCTCTACCAAGAGAAAGGAGGGCGAAAAACGCGATGACCAACGCGATCGAGGATATTTTCATCTATAAGACAGAGGGAGAAAGTAAGGCATATTCATGAAATGTTGAAACAAAATGAATTGTTTCGATGCTTCTAAATCAAGGATTTAATAATCAGTCGAACTTCCTTTTATGGGCAGTTCATTTGGTTCCAAAGATACCGCGAAAGTCAAGCAATAGCCTAGTTTCGGTTTAGTGGTCATGATTTATACGGCTTTGCTCCGACGCTGAGCGGTATAAAACAAAAATAAGAAATTGCATTGAGTGATTCAGGGATTGTTTTATTCCATTCAGCCTCGGAGCCAAGTATGAATTTTGATAATTTAAAACTGGCGTATTCCTAACTCTATACTAAAAGGATACGAACACCTCGTCTGCAACGTGGACATCAGTAGATTACTATAGTATATATCCATTCTGTTCCTTTGGTGTTCTTTAGAACATGGCGGTACTGACACTTACATAAACGCAAAAATTAATCTTAAAAGATCTATAATTCAATACGCTTTTTAGTAAACTATAATCATGCTAAATGACTGGAAAAAAACGACGTAACCTTTTTGTCATTTTCGTCGATCCCAAGGCAACCCAACCCCACCCCCCAGTGTTTTCAGTAAGAGCAGCTTACTTGTAAAATTATTAGCTTTCTAACGTATTTATGATTGGAATTAGTTAAAAAGCCATGCAGCCTATGCATTTTCTTGCTTTCTCCGTTTTTAAGCTGTTATGCGGTCTTAACGATTCTGAATCTGCTAACAGAAATGACCCTCTGCATATACTATTACTTAATCAGTTAAGCCTTATATTCGATAAATCAATTCACAGATCCTTCATTTTACCTGTATTTAGAAATCTGAATGAACTAAAAAAATCGACGTACCTCATACAGCATACAATGATCTCTATTGGAGAAACAGATCACTTCGGTTCAGCTTTCTTTCTAGGTAATACGTAAGACCTTATACCGGCAACTTCTTGCTAGCATATAAAATTATACAGAATTTCAGGCGAAAACGCATTACTAGATCTGTTCGATTTTAAGCGGCGCTGGATCTATTTCATTGATATAAGAACAGTTCCCCGTTTTCCTGGCATTTAATAAATGACCAGATATTTTGTGTTAAACACCGAGTGAAACTCCTAGCTTGTTGGTCTAAGTATTTCCCAGGTAATATCTAACCTTTGAGCACTCCTTGTTTTACCGATACAGTAGAACGTCGTTCTGATCAGTTGAATTTCTCACCAAGGTGGCTTGATTTCAGCGTAGTACATTTCTGATTGAATTAAAAAAGGCTCGTATTTAAAGGGTGAAAATTAATCATGGAAATAAAGTAGATCAAGATAAGACCTTCTGAACGCCTCCTGCTCCTTGCTAATAACAGAAGGCAAAAGTTGCTTGGTGAGAGTAATCAGATAATTTTTTTGTTTACGTTTTCCTTAGCTGGGCATATGTCGTGTCAAGCCCCTCTGTCTCGGTTGAAATTCAGTTGAGCATCAGTCTTACATCTGCTTGTTATAGTGGCAATGAAGTGGATGATGTAAATGAAGGGAAAAATTCCTCTTGAAAGGAGCTTTTTGATAAAAAAGGAAAGAAAATTTAGGACTGAACCAGACATAAACTTTGTTAGAGTAAATTGCTTTCGTTTAAATTGCAATTCATCAATGATTTTTAAAGTATTGGTGATATTAAACTGTCCGAATGTTTCGAAAATAAGGTTTTTTATCTAATATATATGCTTTCATTTTATACTCCAAATATAACTATAGAAAGATGATAAACAAAACTATTTGCGCTTTGAAAGATAATAATAAAAAATCATCCAATTTTATAAATAATATCCCTTTTTAAAAGAATATTATGTATGTCAATAGCATATTTTCCTCCGCTTCAACGGATAACATTGTTAGCAATTTACCCTCAGGAGGTCACACGCATTTCTTGATCAAAAATTACTTATTCAGTATCTGAGAAAATCAGTGACAGATACGGGAATGAGAATAATTTTTCATGTTTCCCAGTAGTCTGTATTTCCATGAAAAACAGATGTGTTAGAAAAGATAAACATAAAACACTCAGTTTCGGAAAACATAAGGTGTTATTTTAACAATGTGCCCACGCTTACTTGGAGACTTAAATCTATCGTTTACTTGCCATCGATATTTTGCAGGAAATTCTTATGATTATATATTAATCATTTTATTTCCCCTTGTTTTTTAATCATCAAGCAATCTTAATCTGAAACGCGCGCTGAAAAGACCCACAGGAATACTGAACAAATGTGAGCCTACGGTTTGTTTGTGGCATATTGGATTAATGACCTAAGCAAAATAGAAACAACAACAACAAAAAAAAGGTTTATTTCATGGGTAAAATATTTCCCTTTTTGGCTTTTTTTTTGGCTTATAAGGACAAAGTTGATTTCAGAAATGTTTGGGTATCCGCGAGTTTATAATTGCTCGCCTACTCACTGATACCCCATATTACCCCTTGCATTATATGACATTTCTTCTCTTGAATTATTTCTTGACTACAAATATTGTCAGACGGTCTTTGATTCGTACTAGAGTCACTTTTAACTAAACCAAAAGGCCAGACAAATAAAAACGGTAAAATTGATTACAGAAGCGAATGGGGGTTGTGGTGGTGGTGGTGGTGGCGGCGGTGGTGAGGCGGAGGGGGGGGGGGGGGGGTGATTACCTAGCACAAATGACGAATGTTTCAAACCTGGGTCCTTTACGATTTCATTGTCACGTAGTCGGCATATCACGACAGAACTGGGTATCGCCTAAACAACGACGTGGCAGAGGTCATAGTATTGATGGCCTTAACGGTGTGCACTACCCTGGATCCACCCTTGAAAATGAAGATTGGATAAGGCCATATAATGGTTCTCGCAAAAATACTGAAAGATAGGATTTTCTTAGTCTCTATTGAAACGAGATAAGATAGCTTCTAACTCCTTCAAAAATCACAGTAGTGTTTATTTATTAGAATACATAAAAGCTACAGACACAAAAAGAAAACCGCTGGAAAGGGTAGATGTTGTTTCAGCCTTGTTAACGTGGCTCAGAGGTTTTAATATCGTGCGACTCGGAGATTCAGAATGTCGGTATTTTACCGAGATGTCATGACATTGCATAAAACCGCTAAATTTTACATTACACGAACATCTAGGCTGAAAACTGCAACATTTTAAGTTTTTAGTTTTAAAAAGTGAATCCGAGGATGAGATTTTGGAACGAATATTACATTTTTTTGAGCTGAAAGGTTATCTTCTTTTAAGTAAACCCTACTCTGAAATTCTTCCTTTCTTTGCGCGGCACAACAAAAAGAAGAATAAACCGATAAAACCTACAAACCTGCCAGATGTTTGAGTTATCAGAAATCGTTGAACGTTGCATATGTATTAAGTGGCTTACGGCACAACTAAGACATAAACTTAACCGCAGTACGACATGCCAGATGCTATAATCGAAGAATATTCAAAAACGCTTTCAGACTTAACATTTGTAGAAAACAAGAATATTCCTGGCTGGGCTGGTGAAAAGATGTTGTTATAAATTAAGAGAGTATATAGTTTCGACACATCATGGCAGGCATAACGAGAAGAAATCACTTTTTGTCACTTAACCAATGAATGTTTTCCGTGGGAAAACGATAAAAGCAACCTCAAAAAAATATATATATATACATATATATTTGAAGAGAAAGTTGATTTTTCGTCGGAAACTGTATGAAATCCAGCGAAGATAGTCAAAAACAAGGACACCTCAGTGCTACCAAAAAGACATCGCAGTTATAAATGAAAGATGTTTTCCACAAATTAAAAAACAAAGAAACAAACAAAACAACAACAACAAGAATCAGAACAATGAACAGAACCTCAAAATAATGGCCGAGAGGTGCACCGTGTCATGAGTTGTACAGCCGGCACCAGCATGAAGTCCTTCAAAGATAGTCGAAATCAAAGACAGAAAAAATTACAATTACAAACAACTGTCTCAAACGAATATCGACTAGGCAAACCTCGTAGCTAAGACCAATATATATAGAAAGCGGAATATCAAAATACAAATTCTCTGCTGTTGTTGCTGTGCTTTCGTTATTGCTTCCTGGGAGAGGTGTTTGGACCCGTCAAGCAACTCATTTTTTGTTATCGTATCCTTAGGCTCTTAACTGATCGCTGATTGGTCGTGGACCGAAATGGAAAGGAGATAATGGATGCTCATCACCCGTACGGTTAAAAAACGCTTAAGCTTGAACGCCTGCATCCAGTGTTACTCGATAACCTTTAAATACGCTTGTGGTGGTTGGCTTTCTCAGTAAGTGGTTAATTAGAGAATATTGTGTGCTACTTAACAATTATTCCTCGACACCAAATGGGCTCTGAGTCAATAGCCCACGAAGAAGGCCGAATGTGCTATAGACTCAGAGGCCATGAGGGCGAGAGGAATAATTGCTTTAGTAAAATCCAACTAGTTGGTCAAAAATATCGAGACAAAACAACTTTAGCTAGCAAAACGCGATTCAGCCGCCATTGTTTTGATGTTCAAAGCCAGCGCTTTTCGCTACCAGTGGGTTATAACATATAGCCTAGTAGTAGCTCAACCTATCAGAACACAGCACTGATAATAGACCACTAGTTGGATTTTATTAATAACTAATATATAGGAAGCCGATGATTGTGATTTTTTTCGCAATCTGATTGGCTGTATATAGCTCAAAGGTATTTTGACGTAAAAGTGCATTATGAATGAGGACTCATTCGACCTTTATGCATAATCCGCATTCATCGTTGCTTTGATGAAATTACGTAAAATTTCTATTTAAAGTTTATTTAAGCATAAGCTGATTTCAGGAGCCGATTTCCCCAACAGCTTATCCCTTATCACCTATTTAACAAGCCCAGAGCGATTCCGCCTTTGATTGCTTATTGATCATTTAAAAAACTGTTTACTATAAAATAACTGCCTTGAGTCAGGCTGATCTGAATTCCCTGATCAATATTTAATAGTTTTCCTATAGACCAGGATAATGATGATTTCTGTAGTCTACTACGCAGCCATCATGTGGTTCGTCACTCGGCAGTTGCTTTTCTGATAGAGACAGAAGTGCCACTTGATATAAAAAGATGAATTCTCTGCTTTTGATCCCGGGCTCTTGATCCTGTGCTTTCTCTGTTGCTTCAGGGGAGAGATATTAGATCAGCTCATCGCCCTAAAATTAAGGTTAGGACGTATAAAAGGTTTAAAATAATAATTTTTAATTGATGGAATAAGCAAACCAGAACAAACGAGTGATGCTGGTGAAGCATGGTCTAGAAAAGGTAGAATAGCATATTAATAAATAAGTCATGTCTGCCCTCCTTCGTTAGTGCGAATAAAAAAAAATCATAAATATGGTTTGAGTTTTTTAAAATTCATTCTCCAAAATGACCGCGATATAAATATATATGGAACACGTTTTTTTAAGAAGCCTATTGTACGTGCTTTCCAACAATTACAATATTTAATAACTGAATTTATTATAAAGATCAATTAACGTCAGGCAGGTAAATGAAAAAAAATGTTTATTTATTTCCTTTTACTTAATACAAAACTGAATTAAATTACCACGACTCCCAATTTTAAGGCTAATAATAATAATAAAGGAACTTCATTCTTCGTAAGCTGCGGTTTCCTTTATCATTTTCGGAAAACATTTTTCTTTTCCATGGAATATGATTTTAACGTGAAACAAATCTTCAACAAGCTGTTTCTTATTTAATTGTCTTAATCTGACATTATGGAAGCTTAGTCTATGCAAATTGCCAATAAATGTTTCAACCTATTAGAAGGCAAACTATCCATAAGCCGCTATATATAATTGAAATGACAGAAACACCTGCTAAACATTGCTCTTTTTGTAATTTGAAAATAGCTGAATATATAGACATCAGCGCTTCTGAATCCTATACCTGGTCTATATGATAAAACAATTACATCCATTCACTCCTGTGTTTGACTTTACTTTTTGAGTTCTAAAAACCCCTAAAACGTAAATAAATGTGTTTTATATAAAATTTTAAAATCAGCTGTAAGTCAGTAGTATTGCAACTCCCCCGTATATTGCATAATTGTGATCATTCTAAAGAAGCGAGACTGTAACCGTGTAAATGATAAGGTACGTAATGGGTTAAATTTTCAACTTTTGGTTTCATTCTCGGCGTATTGCTTCTCCCTGAATTCTGCACTGTGGCTATCATCGAATGGGGGCAGTTCAGAAGTCATTTGAACGGCGGAGTCAGCAAAAGACACTACACGTATTGTAAGACACGACGAAAACAATTCTGTGAAGAGATTACGAATTTCTTTTTTGAAACTTTGAGTTCTTATTCCATAAACCACAGGGTTACACATGCTATTAGCGTAACCAAGTAGTAAAGTGCTAATATCAATTATTCTTGGCAATGGATGGGGATAGTAAACATCAAAAAACATTGTGATAGCAAATGGACTCCAACAAAACATGAAACAAGCAACAACAATCAGCAAAGTGTTTGTTAACTTCATTTCTGTTGGTGTCATTCTAAAACGCTTTTTGCTTCTCTCATCTTCAAGTTCGCTTTCCCACCGTTTTCTCTGAGCATCTCTGTGGTCCTGAACGCGTTTTCCTGCTTGTTTCGTAAATTTCAAAATGTGAAAGTATGAAAAAGACATAGCTGTTAGGGGGCCGAAAAAGCATATTGTTAGCATGAAGTACATGTAGTAAACATCGGAGGCCCACGATACAAAACAGAATGATTTTCCAGGGATGTAGCGATATTCCGCCCAGCCAAAAAGAGGGGGGAGGGATATCAACGAAGATATAAGCCAAACAATTGATCCAAAGATAAAAGATCTCCCCGGCGTAAAGATCGATTTGTACGTTTTCCATTGCACCACGTAAAAATATCTGTTGATAGCTATCATAGCAAGCGACATTACAGACGAAACGAACGACAACATTGTGGTGAATCCCAGAAACACGCATGCGGTTCTTCCAAATACCCACCGTTGCTCAATGATCGTGGCGACTGTAATCGGCATGTTGATCACTGATACGAGTAAATCAGCAAAAGCTAAGTTGAGAAGAAAACCGTTGGAGATTGTGCGAAGGCTTTTCCTTCTCGTGACGACGAAAAATAAAGTGAGGTTACCAAGAATTGAGGTTGTGCAAAAGAAAACAAGAATGACGGCTTCAATGATATCTGTTCGCTGTGCCATCTCAAGAACATCTCCGCCTTTAATATCACAGTTGAAGATGGGGTCGATCGCTCTATGGCTGAATACTTATTACGTATTGCAATATTTAAATGACAGACTGAAATAAAAGTTTACTCAGGTGGACATTTATGTTTTTATCCTATAGTCAATATGGATATCAATCCCGGTTTCTATGCTTTTAATTAGAAGATTTTAACAAAAGCTTCAATAATAAAAATTTTCTAGCTTATTCTTCACCGAGAAGTTTGAATCTTCTTTTTTTTTTTTAAAGATTTTTATCAGCATTCAAGGATTTATGGTTCAGCTCGGCCTGTCCAGGTGTCAATCAATTGAAAGTAATATAGATAGCGTGAAGGATAAAAATTTTAAGCAAACATAAATTTTCAAATTAGTATGAGAAAATGAAGTACCTCTACAAGTCAACTGCCGAAAAGAAATCGCATAAAGGTCCCGTTCACACGCAATTTTTTGGGCAGATTAGCCTTCGGCCTTCCGTCTACACGTGTACGGTCGTGGACTGTTTTTCAAATCATGGCAAATGCTCTCTAGAGCCAAAATTTGTAAAATCTTTGTTCCTGTACTAGAATGGACGGATGAAAACAGATATTTTTTGAGGATGTTGGAGTCGCAGCATTTTTAAGGTGGCGTTTTTTGTTCCGCGTGATATTTTAGCCACCTTGCCCCTTTTGTGAGACTTCTGGCGTAGCTTAAGATATTTTTTTAGGTTATTAAAATGTTCTAGATCGCTACAGTGGAACCTGGCTACCATCAGGGGCACTAAGGGAACATGCTAGGGAACCTCATGGTCATTTCGGGTATTTTTCTTGAAACCTGACAATGGAATCCATGTCTGTATTTTGTACTGACGCAGCATAACTAGTGTCCGTAAGCGGGATTGACGATATATGAGAATTTGTGACTCAAGACACGGAGAAGAGTGTCCGTTGTCGCTATTAACCTTTGTCCATATAAAGAAATTTAATTTTTCTGAGAAAGTATATGAGCTTTTCGTCGGGAAAAACGAAACTGTCCGCTATATACGAGTGTCCGTACGCGTATTATAAGCGGTTGTCCGGAGAACGGAGTTGCACACATGCATTCCAGAATGTTACACAATCAGTGGATGGGGACAGACGATACAATCATTTTTAAATGATTGTATCCCTGTTAAATGTTAAAACATGGACTTAAAAAAACTGAAAATGAGGGATTAAACAACTCAATAAAGACCTCACAAGCAAGAGATCGTAGGTCCAGGTTTAAACCAGTACATAGTAGCGGCCTTGGTTGGTGAGACAACTTACGTCTGCTTTTGCAAAGAATAGAGGGAGAATTGGAGAATAATTCAAGCCCAATTCGTATAAAAATATTCATTTTCAACAGAAGCAGGTATGAGTGGATGGGGACAAACGATACGTGTGGACATGATTAAAAAACGACGAAAAAAGAAAGCAGATTATGAAGTGTGTGGAGCAATCACCCCAATCACATGGTTAAGAGGTCTACCCCTTCTCCAAGACTCGAGGTAAGGTAGTTTGGTCCTTAACAAGCGGTCTCAGAATTATCTAAAATGTCCAAAGAAAACCTTATAAATAGACTGTAGAATTACAAAAATTAAAGTAATATGTCTGTAATATCTGTTTCTATTTAGATATACATCTATCACATTCATCTCTTTCACGGAAACATATGAGCACATAATTGACCAGCTCCCAACATCAGTGGCTTCATAGCTCAGTTGGTTAGAATCGCAACGGTATAGCTAAGGCGCGGGGGTTCAAACCGTATTGAAGTCATGAACTTTTTTCACGCTTCTTACGCAATTGCATAAATTGCGTTCACAACTGCGGCGATCATTCTTGATTTAATTTGATTATTTTGTCTTACTTGGAACTGATCTGTTGACAGCATGCGCAGGGCCAAATCCTCCTAAAAACACTTACCACAATTCGTTATAATACTACACATGTATTGGCCTGTACTCTTCTATAACGACACCGGGACTGCGGTTCACAGGAGAAGGCTTGTCATACAGATTATTCGGTGCATAAACACTATCTTTTCTGGCTCTGTGGGATTCATTGTCATTTGCGAAATAATTATACAGAATATTTCTTGACGAATCGAAAGTTTCCGATTTATTCAGTTGTCTCGTCGGAGCAGGTGCACTCGGTGGCTTAATTCCGTATCCATAATTTGAATTTATAGCTTGAGAGCCATCCGGAACGTGTAATTTTGTGACATTTTCTTTGTTTCTTGAAGTTCTTTGACTTGCTGAGTCAATACTTCTTTTTTCATCAAACGATTTGAATTTTTCTTGCAGATTTGTGAGTAATATTTGTACAAGTGTGTCTCTTTTGATTGGAAAATAGAATAATTTTTCCTTTTTGCGGAGTTTTTTCTGCGGTAGAACATTTGATTCACTCGCCACATTTCGTCGTTCGTCCATCTTAGACGTTGTATTTGGCATCTGATTTGAGTTGAAGTTTGGAGCGTTTTCATAGTCCTCCTTTCGAGTTTTGGCTGTTCCTGCTAACATCGAAGGAGAGGGGCCAATAGGGACTCTCCCTGCTTGGTTGGATAGTTTTATATCTAAGCCTGTGGATGCGATTTGTTTGGTAGGTTGAGAGACCACACCAGCATGCGCAGTATTCTGGCTATCTTTCCAAAGTTGTGATTTTACATCTTTTTGGGAATTTAATGCCAAGTTGCTTTGCTGCATAAGCGAGGTTCTTTCTTGTGAAACCGTAAGAAGTCCTTCTTGTGGTATTATTGGCTTGTTTTGCTCAAAAATGCGATTTTGAGGCTGCGGGTATTTTAGGGTAGGCCGGGATTTGACTTGTTGGTTAGTCCGTTGAATCAATGGACTTCCTTTTCTTGTTTCTTCATTTGTACTTTGAAGTGTTGTGTATGGAGAAGAGTATTTATAAGGAATTTGCCTCGTTTTAAAGTCTTTAGTTAATTCTGCTCTCTCGGGTGGTGCAATGTGCGAAATGCCCATTCCTCTGTTTGTCAGAATATTTCCTCTCGAATTCTGATAGCTGGTTTGCACATTTATTTGTTTATCTATAACTGTTGAATCAATGGCTTGACGCTGTTTGCGTTCCTTGTTAATCAGTTCTGGCTTATAATTCTGTGATTGTTTTATTAATTTTTGTGGTTGCAATGTTTGTTTCCCCATCCGCCATTGTTGTTGCAATAACTGTAAATTTTTCTGCTGCTGTTTCTGTTTTGAATCCTGTTGGCGCCCCTTTTGAAATATTTGTGGTTGATAATTTTGTGGTTTTTCCATTAATCTAGGTGGTGTTACTCTCAGTCTGCTCATATGCCATTGTTCTGGTAGCTGTGAATATTTTTGTCTTTGCTGCAGACGCTGTAGTGATTCAAGCTGTCGATGTTGTTCCCGAGTGTCCAGGCTGCGATATCTTCCCACTTGGTTGTTACTGTACTGCTGCTGGGCTCTTTGAATGTAGTTAAACATCTGAAGATATCTACGATAATGAAAACAACAAGTCTTAATGTTAGTCGAAGTGTTACATTTCTAATCAAGGACAACCCTGATTCCTTTTGGTAAACGACCGTCTTGATTTTTTAGTTCCGTCACTGGGCAATCCGCAAAAAAATGAGCCATTTACTTTTTTATCGCCCCTCAACTAAGCCCTCCTAGAAGGGTGCGTATGTCCTCAGTCAGAATTTCAAAATCCATCATTTAACGTATTTTGAGGAGTAAGTCATGTGTCTGTCGGTATTTTGCATTGTATTTGCGCTTGTCTTTGTCGCTTTCTCAGTTTATCAAGCCATCTTTTTTGTTTTTCGTCATTAGCTCAGTTGGGAGAGCATTGGTCTGCTGAGCGGGAGGCCGTAGGTTCAAACCCCGGCCGGACCAACACTCAGGGTCTTTAAATAACTGAGGAGAAAGTGCTGCCTTTGTAATAACATCTGCAAATGGTTAGACTTTCTAGTCTTCTCGGATAAGGACGATAAACCGTAGGCCCCGTCTCACCAGCCCTTGCACATGTAATAAAAATCTGTGGGACGTTAAAGAACCCACACACTCTTCGTAAAGAGTAGGGCACGTAGTACCCGGTGTAGTGGTCTATCTCACTTTCACACTCATGTATGGGGGCATCATCACTCATTCCTTCAGTACTTGTAAACTGCACCTTAAGCAGTCTGGCAAAGTCCCCCAACCAGTGTTGTAAATTATCCCTGAAAAGCCCTGAGGGGAGTGGATAATAAGATATTTACAATTTACAATTTACAATTTCATCGTATGGCTGATCTACTGCCGTGTAAGTTATCAGAATTGAACCCTAACATTGGGATGTGCTTAGGCTCGCGGCGGGCACATTTCTCCAAAAAGCGGATGGTAACCGAGCGTAAGGTATGCTATTCGTATTAGAGTGATTTTCCTAAAGCACTGCTAATTTAGCTTTGAAAGGGAGGAACTTGGGACCAACTAGTTTCGAAAGAGAATTAATTCCGCGATTTTTGACGGTCGAACACTGTCGACCTCTTTGCAACAATTACGTCCCTCTCAGTATGTGATCATGAGGGAATATAACTTTAAGTTGCCAAAATTAAATGATACTTTACTGTAGCAGCATGATGTAAACAAATTTTCTACACTAAATAAAGTACTAATTAAACATTTTTTCAATAAATCATCCTTGGAGATCCAGGGGCAGTCAGTATTTCGTGCCGCACCATTTCCGCCGACCGGACTGACTGCTCCTGGGTCTCCGAGGATGGCCATCGGAAAACAGGGTCATCGCCTGTTTTCCCACGATAACGTTACCTTGCATCTGGTATACCAAGTTGCACCGGCTGTTGTTGGTAGTTGGGAGGAGAAAAGCCAAAATGCATGCCATGCAATGTTGCAGCGATTTGGGCTCTTCGACTGGTCATTTCATTTCCTAAGGCATGATTTTTGGAGCTAGGGGAAATACATACCAAGCAAAATCGAATTATAAAACGGGATGAGTTATCATTTGATACTGTTATCTAAATATTTCAATAAGACATTCTGTTCCTTTACCACGACAAAACTCATTACTGACACCGTGATGAAAACCGTTTAGCCCTCCACGGTGATATCTTTGAACTTTCTCACTTCAGCAAACAGTAGAGGCTAGGCTTTACAGGTGAATCTTTAACGACTCAGCTGTTGACAGTTTGACATTTTGCCTGTCAAAAGCAATCAGGTAATTACTAGGTAGAAAAAGAATAAACTCGACCAGTGCTAAATTATTCTTTAAAACTAGGTTTTAGCATAAAAGGGTACTAAGTGAATGAACGTGAACAACAGTGTCAAAAGGTGCTATTAGGATATTTAATATGCTATTGAAGAATTTAGTATACGTAGTACTTTAACTGTCACGGCAAATAACTGAAAGTTACGTTTACCTCTGTTTTCTTACACAGTCTGGCCAGGGGACTTTTTCTCCTTCAGGATAAGTAAACCATTTCCCTGTTATGGGTCCACACATGTACATAACAGCGGGTTTGAATTCAAACGTAAAGCCCTCATTACACTCCGGAGTACAAAACAGTCGAAAAAGGCTATCGCAAACCACGTGACCGTTTTTGGGCTTCGGGTATTTCTTACAACGTTCAATGGACTCTAATGCAAAGAAATAATATTTTGTAATTAGAGAATTTTCATGTAATTTTATTGCAAGCATATGAACTTTTAACTTTTTAAGAAAGGTACCAAATTTCCGTAGCAGTATAATGAAATGCGAGGAATAAAAACTACATTTGGATGAAAGATGTTTTCATCATCAGTTCAAATTGTTAACAAATTAGAGACTATATGAAATAATGAATATACCACTATAATATTTTAAAACTGTGGGACGAAGAATTAAATGTGAAAAAGATGGTTGTAGTTATATGCAACTTCTGCAGTGCGAAAAGGAGGCCTTAAAATTTTCAGGCTTTCGGGCCTTTGAAACCTCAATACCTCTTCGATACCGGCGCAGCGTTCCAACGAATTAACTGTAAGTCGACTCTCGGAGAGCATGTTGCATCTATAACGGCGACAACCCCGTTCATATCTAAGTTACTACTCGAAACTACTAACTAGGAAAAGTTGTTACTGTTGAGGTCGAGAACCTATGGTATCATTCATTTCCTAGGGCTATTAGGAGTATCTGATATTTTACAAAACGTGTTGTTTTTAGAATGTCGACTATGGGCGCAGTTGAGAGTTAAAACGTTTTTGGCCTCGTTTCCTGTCACAAATCTCAGTGAGTTGTATATTTCTCATCAACCAAACGTCAAGTTACTAATTAGATTTTATTTGGGTGTAGTGAACCGCCTTAGACTTTCAAGGTAGACAGAAATAGACTGCTTTAGTGAGACTTGACCGGAGATACTATATTTGCGCCAAAAACGATCTCAAAATAAACTGGTTGGTGAAAACGCACAGACAAGAGTACATGGATATTGCTCGCTCCGCGTAATGGGCCCTTGGTTGTCTAAGTCATAATTAACTAATTTTGGGGTAGGTTAGGAATTAAGTTAGGATACCTTGCAACATATGTCAGTTCGGTGACTTACCTGCTAACCTCCATAAGTAAGCTGTCAAGAAAATGCTTACCAACCAAATCATGGGGGCGTACGCCATTTGCGTGAATGAAAAAATCCAGAATGAAACTGAAAGGTCATGAACGACAAGAAAAAGGAAACAAATTAATCAAAAATCAACGAAGGCAATTAACTATATATGTTCTGTCAAAGATGACAGTTTTTCTGTTAGATAATTGCAGGTATCCTCTCTATTTTATTACTTACTCCCGAAAAGAGTGCGAAAATAACCACAACCTAACTCCATGTAACTCACGCAAAGACAAAGATCTCTTTAATTTAATGATACTGTACTTTGTTTCTTGGTTATTTTTCCTTTTTTCGTAGACGTCAGCTAACTAATACGAGTTAGGTGACTACTCAGGACCCTGTTATTTGAAAGGTGAATAGGGTAATCCACTGAAGAAATCCCTATCTGGAGGATAACGCATATGGTCTCTTATATAGTGAGTGGTGGTTTATCTGGCGGATAGCGTTACCCAACTTTTGAACAAGCGGGGCCATGTCAATAACAAACTAAAAAGTTTTAAAATACCATCAACTGATGATTTACAACTCATTCTGCTGATGACTTGCGCAAAGGTTGCTGAAACGGCAGTCTCTGTCACCAGCAGTCCAGTAATAACTGAATTAAGACTAGACTAAACCAGATTTTTGCGTTTCATGACAACGGAACGAAAACATAGCCAACACAAATATAAACATATTGTGGTTGGAAGAGGCACAAAATTTTAAATTATCATATGATATGTCTCTTAAGATATATACGACAACATAGTCCTTATATAGATGGTCACCTTTTCAAGCATCGTTTTCAGTTTTTTTTGTCGGATTAAATTTTTAGCGGCGCCAAAACTAGTGACTGACAAATGAAGAGTACAGTTCCTTCTTAGCACTTTATTTGAAACTAAGCTTGTAAAGCGATTCTCCTTGGTGTGGTTTGCGAGACTGCGACACTACTTACCTTTAAATATTTTGTTGAGTGAATGTCTCGGTTAATATCATTTTGGAATAACTTAGATCCGTTGGCCGTGAAATATATTGTCCCTCCTTGTTTACTTCCTAGCCAGCGCCGAAAATAAATAGAATGTAATCCTGATACATATCTTGGATCATATTGTTAACTAAAAGAATTCGATATTGCTTGAGGAACGGCAGCCTAACCAAACTTTTTCTGAAGTTTACACTGATAAACCTATACGGTCCTCTCTCACAGCAGGAAATTATCTATCAAAGCAAACTGAGAGAATTTTAATCTGTTGCTAAAACAGATGAGCCTCGGATTCGTTACTCAAATCTCCAAAATCAGATACAGTGACTTGTGACATGCATGTAAGGAGAATTCACAAGAGAATCCTGTCAGTTTCTTGATCTTTTTTGCGTTGACAGGTATAACCAGTTTTGCTTTTGAATTTCTGCGCACCTGCTGGCAGGTATGCTATTATGATTTTAAACTCAGCTATTAATTCAATACGGGTTCGTGATTCTGCCTCTCTGAACGGAGTCTTATCTTTACTGCAGCTATAAAGATGGCGGAAAGGACCTTCATCAACTAACGAAAATCGATGCCCGACCCTCAAACACGTACCTCACTTAACAGACTTATCAAATTTCAAAAGAATCATGGCAATTAAAACTATAGAGTGCTGTTAGAAAGCCATCTTCTAAACGTTCAACAAGACCATTATCAGAGTCATGAAAACTGCGATTACTTACTACCAGGAAGCAATTCGCCGAAAAAAAAAAAAGATTATTTACAGTATACGTAGTTGTTGACTGAATAGTCGCCATCCACAGAAAACGGGACTGAAAACAGCACGACTAAAACCTGGGCGTAAAGTTTCCTAGCACGGGCGAAAGATCAGGTTCTATTGCCCTTGCTTGAAAGTTGCTGGATCGAATACGTTCTGGTTTTAATTTCTACTCTGTGTGCCTTGAAATTAGCCTGTGAACAGGCTCTCTGTTTGGGGAAAAATAGCGAGGACCAAAGGCCTGTTCACAGGCTTCCTTGAAATAATCACAAGAAACAAGATGGTGCAAATATGGGATCGTATGATGATCTTGTGATTGATATCGTCCTGGCCGTAGAGGAGCTCTGTCAAGACAATAAAACAATAGACTATTTTACAGCTACAAGTGGAAATGAGGCTGAAGTTGACCTTGTTTTGATACAGCCCTTCCTGCTTTATCATGTAAATCATGTTGTTCTTCCATCTGGAATTTTTTAATCATAATTTCCACGAGAAAAGGAAAGAGCAGTGTATCAAAACAAGTTCAACCTTAGACTTGCTACAAGTCGACCTCTTGGCTCAAAGGCTGGGATACTAAGCTCACAACTATAGAATGGTCTATTTGAGTCGTTAGTTTACAACCTACAATATTGTTTTGAAATGTTACATCAAAATGTAAGTTTCTTGACTGAATAGAAAAACTCAAATTACTGCCGTAATAGTGAACTCTAAATTCAGATTGGGGCTGGAGGAGATAACAAAACAAAAATATTTAGGCTAAATCTTTCAAAATGCAGAAAATATGACTTAGTAACTTCTATGATTTCAGCCAAAATAAGATCCAGAAGAATTCACCTGTTGCTTGGTATGACGCAAACAACGAATGCCAAGGCCTAGGGCCGTGTACGCACTGCGACAAAAAAAAAAAAGAGTTTGAAAATTTTGTACTCACCAATCGTTTGTTTTTGCAATCTTGTTCGCATCTAAGACATCGCTTCTGATGTTTCGTCTAACCAGAAACGTTAATTAAAGGATCTTTAACTAAGAAAACTGATGACCAATGATTGGTAATGTTCTCGAAATAAGATGACCCGAAGATAGCTGTCAAGGAACAAAGGAGTTTGTCACATGAAAACTTTGGTAGGTGAAAAAAATCGTTCACACTAGAAATGGCTTCCTATTTACAGATTTTTTTGCAAAGCAAATTAATTTTGCTTAGTGTGAACAGGGCCTAAGGCTAATGAGATGAATGAGATGGTTCATAAAAGGGGCCTTTTGAGGTGGAGCTTAAGCCTGATTCGGTGTTCTGTCCAATTGCACTATGGGACTGTTTCGGAGGTCCCCCACGGTCCCATTTGTTTGGATATCACGGATTTGGTTCGGGCAAATAGTTTTATTGAGGGTGAAATTGAGTTCCAAATCTTAACACCGATTCTTGTGAAAGAGTCAACCATCTTTTCCGTCCTCGAAAACTTAACATAAAAAGATTCATTTCTAAATAAGGTGAAAAATTTTTAAATGGTAATTTCTTTTCTTTGTCTTGTCCAAGTGCGACTTTTGCATGACCAGCATAGCGGTTTTGTACCACGTGAATGGTAAGCTGCAAAGGGCCTATTGCGCACGATACGGGGGCGGTGCTGTGTCGCATTGCGCTATGAGATTGTTTTATACTGACGAATAAGTGCTCGCTGCTCGCGAGTTGTACTCTCTAAACTGCTCGCTGCTCGCAAAGCAAATTTTTTATCTCTGCTAGTGCTAGCAAAAAAATCGCAGTGCTCGCAAAGACCATTCGTCACCCCTGAATTTAGGCCCAGTTTCACCCCCAAATCCGTGATATCCAAACAAATGGGACCGTGGGGGACCTCCGAAACAGTCCCATAGTGCAATTGGACAGAACACCGAATCAGGCTTAAGCTCCACCTCAAAAGGCCCCTTTTATGAACCATCTCATTCATCTCATTAGCCTTAGGCCCTGTTCACACTAAGCAAAATTAATTTGCTTTGCAAAAAAATCTGTCAACAGGAAGCCATTTCTAGTGTGAACGATTTTTTTCACCTACCAAAATTTTCACAGAATTTTTTGACATGTGACAAACTCCTTTGTTCTTTGACAGCTATCTTCGGGTCATCTTATTTCGAGAACATTACCAATCATTGGTCATCAGTTTTCTTAGTTAAAGATCCTTTAATTAACGTTTCTGGTTAGACGAAACATCAGAAGCGATGTCTTAGATGCGAACAAGATTGCAAAAACAAACGATTGGTGAGTACAAAATTTTCAAACTCTTTTTTTTCGTGGTGTGAACAGGGCCTTAGGCTTTCATTCCTTGTTTGCGTCATATCAAACAACAGGTGGATTCTTCTGGATCTTATTTTGGCTGAAATCATAGAAGTTACGAAGTCATATTTTCTGCATTTTGAAGGATTTAGCCTGAATATTTTTGTCTTGTTATCTCCTCCAGCCTCAATCTGAATTTAGAGTTCACTATTACGGCAGTAATTTGAGTTTTTCTATTGCTCTCCATCATGGCGGTTTTGTACCACGTAAATGGCTGGCTGCAAAGGGCCTATTCACCATTTTCACATAGACCATAATGCACCTTGTTTAACAGCTAAAACGTTTGCATAAACATAGTCTTCGAATTCCCTTGTAACGACTGTAATACCCAGGAGAAATTGGAAGCAATGGTTGTATAAAATGTTGGGGATAAACAAGGAACATTGTGGTCTCTGTGAAAATGGTGAATTTTAAAATGACTAATAAACCGATAAATATCACCAGTTGTTTGCCTAGTTCGTCAAATTGCAATTTTGGGAACGTGACTTTAAGCAACAACAGTTCATGCTAACCAGGGCATGTTTAAATGACTTTAACTATATCGCTGGATGTAGTTGTAAAGAAACAAGAGACAATGAGCAGGTAAGTTTTAATCACTCCTTTACTTAAACTGTTATCAATGTATAATGATATTTAGAATTGCCAATCACCAGATAATTTTCAACGGCATATTTGATTTCAGACTCAAAGAGTATTCCAACAAATACATAGAAAATAAATTCCTTAATATCTTCGGTCGTCAAACTGGCCAGGGGAAAAACGCATTCTCCACATTTCGCAACATTTCTTCCAGCCCTTTGATTTCAGGGAAAGCCCGGATAAGCACATTGCTCATATTTGCGTTTTGAATCCATTCAAGTCCCTCTTTGGTGTAGATGTCTGAAGTTAAATCATCGGTCATAAACCTAAAGAAAAACATTAAAAGAATGAACCATTACGGTGGGCAATAAATAGGTACTAATAGCTCCTTTTAGGGACTTTTTTCCTTTCGCGTTTAATGCAGGAGAGAGGCTTCCTTCAAATGATCAAATATAACTGGGGCTAAAACTGGTAGGCAATTTAGAATCTTTTTCGAACGAGGATTTGAACCCGCGACTACAGAAAACAATCTCGGCGGGGCCTCTTTTAAAACAGTGCTCAGCCCTAATCATTATACTTTGGTCTACACCCTATACAGACTCTTTTCTTGCACTACTGGCTCTGATTTTCCCGATTGTTTAAGCTTGTAGATTTTCATTTCTTAGTTCAATTTGCGATCTTCCAGGAATGAAAATTTGATTTTTATATTTCGCAACGTGTTTGGAATTCTTTGAAATCGAGTCATGTAGAAACCTAATCAATCAATCAATCAATCAATCAATCAGTCAGTACTTCAGTCAGTCAGGTAGTCAATCAATCAATCAGTCAGTAAGTCGGTCGGTCAGTCAGTCAGTCCATCTGTCAATCAGTCAATCAATCAATCAATCAATCATCAATCAATCAATCAGTCAAACATCAATCAATCAATCAATCAATCAATCGAAAATCAATCAACCAACCAATCAGTCAATCAGTAAATCAATCAACCAATCAATCAACTAACCGATCAATCAATCAATCAATCAATCAATCAATCAATCTGCAAGTCAATCAATCAACTCACCTGTCAGTTTGTAGTCTTCTGCTGGCCATAAGAACGAATATATTAAACGCTGTTTCACCAAATCCACAACCGTCAGGCCGGGGCTCCTCTGCTAGGCAACCAATCAGGAGGTCTAATTTCTCAATGTCGTCGTCATACAGTTCCTTAAGCAGGCTGGAATGTTTCATGTTTGGCGTAAGCTTTTCAAAGGACTCCACAGGAGGAAGGTTTGTCAATCGTCTGAATTCATTATATCGTGGAATGCCACGTTCTCTATCGCGTAAAATGTCGATGGTTGCTAGGTCAATAGTCTGAAACGAAAGAGACATCTTTTTCCTAAGAAACTGTTTTTTTTTCTCATTACGTTGATCTTTTCCTCCACGGACACCTACAACCCCGGACAAAACTGTTGAGACAATTCCATGTTTTATTTCAATTTCGCGCCATGCTGCAATCTCCTCTAAACTGAACAAAGTCGCCACCGCCCGGCCCCTTGTTCAAAGTTGTCTGGTCTAACAGCTCACGTGTGCATTTCTGGTGTTTTATTGGAATAGTGGAGGGGGGAAACGGTGCATCAATTTGCCACGGTAAGCGTTTTGTCAGGGCGAGTGCAGAAATATGTTTTTGTAATGTGTCTCACCAGGTTTTGTCCGAGGGTAAAGCACTACAACCTATTAAATATCTCTGCCTTTCACTAAGGAGAGCCTTTGTGTAGGCTGAAAGTGCTGCTGACCACATGAGTGATCATGGAAGTAGCCCCCTCCCCCTACCATACTGGTTTTCTCACCTCTCCGTTCTGTTGATGCCTCGGTAACTTTAAGTTCATCAAGGCCTTTGGGTAGTTATGAAGAGTAAGCGCACCTGGATGCTCAACCCCGAATGTGTATACAACTTCATCCACACTGTGTTTGTTCAAGATATCCTTAGCTCCTTTGAAAGAGTACTCGGGGAGAGAATATGACTTTCCAGTTCTTTGTCCAGTTTCTATCGAGCGCATGTACAGATCGTCTGGTAACAACGGATGCATGCGGTACACTGATACAAATTCTTCAGTCAGAGAGAAAGGGACGCCGTAAAACTTACTTGGAGAGCCAACAATTGGCTTCAATACAGCACCGCTCGCCTCAATACTTATATTGTGTGCCGCAAGCCAATCAAAAACCTCTTTCCCTGGGCTTAGGCCAAAGTTCACATATACCCCTGCGCGCAGAACACTGTTGTTTAGAATGGCTGGTGTCCATTCCACTGTGTGAATTTTCTGAATCGTGGCAGTGTTGATTAACCTGTACAGTAAAAAACAAAAGGGCGTTATCAAATTACTTAATCTACAAAATGACTGTAAATCAATGAATTAGAGAGCTGTAGGGTACGCAAGGGGTGAAAAAGAGCTCTCAGGGGGTTTTACAACGGTCTGACATCGATAATGAGAATATTGTTGCGGATGGGCTCCCTGTTTCGATTTTTTTTCCCGCCTTTAGAGGTCTTGTGGCCTAGTCTTTTGTTCTTCCTTATTATGTTTCTTGACGAGAGTTTGCAACTTCGACATTTACTCGAAGTAACGACCTAAATTGATCGATTTCGACGCATTGACGACTGTATTGTTTTTAACACTGTTAGTGTGTAGCCTTCTCTAGCAGTATTGGAAATAAAGGTCTGTATACAAGAGTGAATTCGCCGTTACGCTGAAACAATGGAGTGGTTTACATGTCACTTCAGTTTTTTGAACTTTTTTTCAAAAAAATTAATCAATTTTCAGTATTTACTCAGGCGCTGCCAAATCTTTAGTACTTTTTGTTAAGTTGAACTTTGGCAGCTCATCAAGCCTAGTGCCAAAAGACTACCAAACTTATTCATGCCTAATATGGTTAATTCACTCGCGGTCCTTTTCATTTAACATTCAGTTACCTGGCTATGTCATACAATTGCTGGTCTGACCAATCAGGGTGGAACTTCAGCAGCATATCACAAATAGCGTTGTGTTCTCTTGTGAATATGTTGTGCATGAGACTCAGACCGATCCACCAGTTGTTGCTAAAACCTTTAGAAGAAGTCAAAGATTCATTTCTTCACAAGGAACAGTCTTTCTATTATTAACCTGTTACTATGAAATTAGGGAACGAAATGCCCAGTGACAGGATACCCAAAGTTGCCTTGCTGGATGGACTCACCTGGGAGCGGGAGGAAAAAAGGCCGGCTAAAAACCTGTGACTTGGCGGAAAAAGGTGATGAAAGAGGGGGAGGAGATGGGTCTAACGTGGAGTGAAGTGAAAGCCAAAGTTTAGGACAGTGTTGAGTGGCGAGGTTTGATTGCGCCTTTATGCATAGGCGTACGGGGCGGGGGGACGAGGGGGGCTGCAGCCCCCCCAAAGTTTGGGCAACTCAGATTTTTTGGGCAGCAAGAGAAAACTTGGGCAAAGCCAGTTTTTAAAGACGTTTCCATGTTTTTTATTATTATTATATTTTGAAGACATAAATATTTTCTATTTTAACCAGAAGTCCGCGTAATAATTCAGTTACGTTCACAGGAGACAGTGGTTGCCTAGCACGTGATGAGTTTCTGGTTATAAGGGAAGGGTATCATATGCTGATTTTTTTTTGTTGTTGTTGGGCACTGTACTTCACTGTACTAGCTGGAGTGGGCTATTTCCAGTCATGAATTGATTAGAATAAACTTCCGCATAACTTTCTAGAATCACCTCCGCTCCTAGAACAGTGTGTGGCAGAACACGCTTCAGCAATGGGTCTGAAAGTGAAGTGGCTGACTAATTCTCAGTTGGAATTACGAGAAGAATCATAATTTTCTTAAAAAAATCTATCGAGGGTTGAAAAATTATTCACTAATTTGTTTGAAATGTTTACGAAACCCCTAACAAGATCGAGCGCTAATCAAATCCTTCCTTATAGCAATTGGCAGGAGCTATCTCCATGATCTTTCATACACGTTTTTAATAAGATTGAAACTCCGTTTTCTAAACATCAAGATTTTCCTTTTTTACCTTATTTCTGACAATAAAAACTTCATCCCAAAATATCTCGATAACGCTCTTACAGTTCCGTTTCAACTTCACGAACATCGAGGCGACTATTGGAGGAAAGAGCTTCCCTGAACGATTTTGTAAGAACAGTTCCCAGTGAGAAATATTGCTGCAAGTATAATAGGTAATGGCGTCATTTCGTTGCTATGACAGCTCCGATGTCAGTGCAATCATGATCATGACAAATTTCCCTCTTTATCTAATACAACTGTGGTGGCAATTTTTTCCAAATGCTTGTTTGTGGCGACGTAGTTTATGCTCAAACTTGGCAGGTATTGACTCTGAAAAACTGTATCGAGCCATTTTCATATGCCAGTACTGCCTATTTTGTTGCATGGCCCTAGTTTCCTTTCGACTGTTTTGTAAAAATTTGGGCAACTTGCAAGAATTTTTTGGGCAAATGGATTACCGCACTCCCTGGCAAAAAATTGCCCGTATGCCTATGCCTTTATATTCCTGCCAGGATGAAGAAATGGAGTGACTAGGGAACGAAATGCCTTGTCTAAAACAACTATTAGATAAGTAACCTTCTGACAGACGGAAAACCCCCCAGAAATGATGTGATAGTTAATATCATTATACTCCTCATAAATCTCTACCTAGAGAAAACAAAACCCTTTGATGTATCTCTTTGATAGTTATTTATCTCGTAAATATGAACTTCTCGCCTTTTGAGCAGCTAACAAGAAGTGGTATATTTTTAAAAAATTAATTTAAGGATTGTGCAATACAAGGCATTCTCCCTACCAAGGTTATATCCAGTAAACTTGGAAAAGGAATCTTTTGAAAGGAGCTACATACAGGGTGTCTCAAAAGTTCGTTCCGATTGAAAATTGTATTTTGCGCAAAGCATTTAATGTTTCTTTAGGCAAATGTAAACTGATTCAGGCAAGAAATTTATCTAAATAAACGTTAAAAGCAATTTCAAACTAAAATTTGAAGAAATTATATATATATTTTTAATTTTTGCGCCAACTGTACACGTACGCGAGGTTTTTCCCGCCATACTTTTCCTGCAAATTTTGTAGGTTTTCTATTTTGGTATTTTTATCGTTTTCTTTCATTTTCTCTACTCCTTCATGAAAATGAAGGACTACACTGTTTGCACTAGAGTTCAGGCGTCTATTTTTATGGTCTTCTGGCCATTCAGTCCAAAAAAATTGTCAAATTGTTGAAGAAGTCTGAACGATGACCGAACAAGTGGTCAAAAGTAAAGACCTTAGAGGACAAACCAAGGAGTGCGTGGCCGTTTTTTCACAAACTGTGTGAGAAATATTATCGAAAAAGCTGTAAGTATATGCTTAATAATTCCACAAAACAGAGAGGCAAAAACATTTCAACTTCACATTATCGATCAAAGTTTCGAGCACAACGGTAAGGGGATAAGTTACCAAAAAAAGTTGAAAAGAGGAAAAGGCGGTGCACACTTCATGCAAGCATAGTGTCAGAAGGATTGCCAACTCAGTATACCAAAGGAGGACCAGCCGGCAAACTCATGTGATGTGAATCCCCTAGAGACCATCTGGATTATTGTAGACGAGACAACATACGAAGATCCAGCCCCCAAAACACTGGACGAGCTAAGCCAGTGACTACGCTTCGCCTGGAAGAATGTGACTTCTTGTGACGTCTTGGGAGCTCGTACATTCTACACCTCACCGCTTAGAAAATGTCAGAAAACATACAGGAAGACATACTGGTTACTAATATTTTAGTAATTCAATGTTAAATAAATAATGAATAACATACTAAGTTTTACAAAAGGTTTTTTTTAATAATCAGTGCGAATAAAAAATCGAACGAACTTTTGAAACACCCTGTAGGATGTGTATTCCATGAGTTGGGTTTTTGCTGTCTGAAATTAACAGAAGACTTTCAGGTGACCGTATTTCAAACTCACCAGTGATGTCTATTCCAGTTTTGCGGTTTACTGGAAGCCAACCATCTTTTCCCACCTTCATTTTTCCTTTCCTAAAGCTACGCAGTTTCTTATTTGTACGGATATCGTTACCATACAATTGAGAACCGTCCCACCAGTGTGTAACATCATTCTGATACGTTGGGGAGTCTGTATCCTAGAAACGACCAAATAGAAAATAGTATATACTACCCTGCGAGCAGAGGCTACATTTTCGCGGTGTGAGATGGCGTGCGAAAAGTAGCACGCCAGCACGCACGCCAGATCATACCGCGAAAATGTAGGCTGTGCTCGCAGGGTAAGTATATAGTCATTCCTGTTAGCAATCAATTAATTGCCTTCGTCGGAGGTCAGTGGCTTATTTGTATATATGGATATATATTTAAGTCCTTTATTTATCCTGGGCAGCAATTATAACATTAATTTAATGTGCTAGTGGGGAAGAGGTTAAGAATGAACTCGGGACTACCGAGAAGAAATCCAGCTTGTTAAGGCAGGACTTGAACTCGGGTCCTCTGATTTACATGTCCAGCGCTCTAACTGCTTGACCGCGATACCTCTCGATCAGCTATCATTTAAGAATAAACATAGGCGTAAATGATAAACTGATTGCTTATTTACCGAGTACATTTGACAGCTGTCTGGCTTTGTTCTTGGAATTTTCATCTCTCCTTTATGTTCGTTATAAACAGGGTCATCTTCATTTAGCTCTATATTTATACGTCTGGAAACATCTACTGGCCCATGGTCAAACCAGTCATGCAGGTTAAACTGGATCCAACCGGCTGCTAACAGGTTTAACTGCTTGGCGGGAATAAATGTGTCTCTGGCCATCAATCTGTAGGGTAAAAAAGTATAACATCTGTGTGAAGAACACTCGGCAGTACTTTTTAGGCTATGTTAACAATATACCTGATCGCTTTTGCTCCAGCACGAAAACCATACTGAATAGGGTTCTGGTCACACATAACAACAGTAATTTCGGCGCAATTTTTTTAATTAACAACCTTTTCTCGACCTTTTTAAAGCATGCTTTACAAACCAACAGCATGACACCCATTCTTACCTGAATTATGTATCCTCGCATCGCACCCGTTGTAAGGAAGCTATCCCCCACAGTCGATATCTTTTTTATTATTCCCTCTTGCTTGTTGGAAAAGGGCATAGAGATAGAGGTACCTCGTTTCGCTCTTAATGCCAATTCTTATTCCCATATTTATATACAACTGCGAATTACAATCCATTTAAAGACACTGAGCAAATCTTTTTTTTAAGATTAAACCTTACTTCCTGCTTAACTGTCGGGGGCATGGTTCCAAGAGAGCAGTGTCCTCATACGTCTTGGTAAGATTCACGTTCCTTCCAAACCGGTAAAACCTGCTTCCGGAAGCTGGTTGATTCAGGTCATTGCAGGTTCCGTCATGAGTACGAAACCTTCGCATATTTTCGGTGCAGTGCACTAGGAAAAAAATATATTTACTGATTATCTAATTTTCCCTTTACTGTTTTACCCGTTAATTAATGCTTTTAAATTTGTTCGGGTCACTCAGTGTTCAAGTTTATACACGTCCTAGTCAATCGGAACATAGGCAAATCAAGAAGTATGCACATAAAATACCTGTTAGTCAATAGATGCAATTAGGGTAAGTAAATCATACATGAGAACTGTAAATTATGATTTCAACCTAAGCAGCAGAATCAACTCACTTTGACTCTGAAGATGAGTACCGCACAGGGGGGTGTCGAAACGTTAGTCACTGTCCGCAACAGTTCCATTCAGGACTACGTTCACCTGAGGGATCAAGCTCAACCTACTTATGAAATGACACCAGGGTTCAAACCTTTCATAGAATCGGAAAGATTCTGACCTGATGGCACGTCTTAAAAGCAAACTCTCTCGAAGAAAAAAAAAATTCAGTTCTTACTTGTTCTGAAGACTTCAATCATGTTCCGTGGTAGACACTTTTTGTTAGCCCTTTTTCTGCACTTGCGTTGAGATAATTCACAGGTATACAGATTGGCAACACAGTAACATTGACGACTGTGATCAAACCCTGCATACGCGTATTCTTTGTCCTTGCAGTGCTGTACGCATTCTTCTATTGTTGTATCCTCCTTCTCGTATGACGGAGTTAGATACTTTACTTTAAAGCACCCCAGAGACATGTGACCTATGAGGGCATGTCAGGCATTAATTAGTATCATCTCATTCAACAGTTTAAAAGAGTTGGATGGGGGAGTGATTGGTGAAGCAGCGAACAGTTAAGTACGACCTAAAAAACACCTAAAATCATCCGGGTTCCCGAATTGAATTATTTGCTAATCATTCTCTCGTCGTCATAGACTTATCTCGAACCAAAAAATCATTGAAAATTCACAGAAAGTATTACTTTCTACCAACACCAACTGTATCTTGTCTTTTTTTTCCAGTTATAGAACGTCATATAAAATCATACTAAAGCAGGGTTAGAAGCTAAGACGCCATAGGATGTTCAAGACTTGTCATTTAGCCAGATCTTTTCATTTTCTCCTCACTTTTTCCGTTTCTTATGCAATTTCTTCTTCGGAGGAGGAGCTCAAGTCCCAGTTTTACCGGATCTAGGATCTTTGATTTTTATCAGATTTTTTATTTCTTTTTTTTTTTAAAGTTCGAATATTATCAAAGGTGTCCGTTGACAAGATCACGATCGGCCAAGCTGAGGTATCGCCTGCCTCTTCAGTGCGCAATTTGGGCACCTGGTTCGATTCTCATCTGGACATGTCGACTCATGTGTCTAAGACTTGTGCTAGCGCGTTTTATTATTTGTACAATATCCGGCACATTAGGAAGTATTTGTCTCGTGAGTCCACCGAGAGGCTTGTTCACGCGTTCATCACAAGCAGGCTTGACTACTGTAATGGTTTATTGTACGGTGCTCCTGAGTATCAAATTAAGAAACTTCAAAGAGTCATGAATACCAGTGCTCGATTGGTTTACTGCGCACCTAAGTATTGTCACGTTACTCCTTTGCTAAGAGAACTCCACTGGCTACCAGTGCGCTTGCGCGTAGATTTTAAGATTCTCCTTGTTAAATTTAAGATTCTTCACGGTGTTGCGCCTAGCTATCTTAAGGATCTTGTCTCTGTCTTACCGGACTTCACGTTACCAACTACGCCGTAACAATAATGGTATATTGTTAGAAAGACCTCGGCCGGCTAAGAACGAAGAAGACTTTGGGAGATCGCGCGTTATCGATGCTGCCCCCTTTTTATGGAACAGTCTTCCTCTGCCAATAAGACAGGAAACATCAATCGACTCTTTTAAACGCTCTGTTAAATATTATTTCTTGTTAAGCGCTTTAGAGGCATGTATACAGCGCTATATCAGATAATGAATTGCTGTTATTATTATTATTAACCGGCGTCCTTCATTTGGTCCTTTTTCGAAATACCGCCTTTAGATTTCCCACTTTCCGCTTTTTCCTTAGCCTCCCACGCAGGCATTTTTAGGGGAGCTCGTATTTCTTCCCTCCCCACAAACGCCTGCTCAACAGAGGACAACATTCCTTTCCCACGCTTAGCCAATCACGTTGTACTTTCCAAATTCTGGAAAGTTGACCTTGACCGCAGGGTAATCACGCGATCTGCATGAACCTTCATGACCTCTAATAAATGTTAGTCTCAGAGCGGCAAAAGTAAGATTTACTCAGTCAGATTTTAGAATTCTCTGTGCACTGCATAACCTTAGCGAACGAAAGAAAAGAAGGAAAAAGGTAACTCTCGGGTCACGTTCTGGGTCACGTTTTTTCACTATCACGAGCTTATGAGTCATGTTTAGCCTGTCAACACTTTATTTAAAAACCGTTGATTGGTCACTTACCACGTGAATGTAACAATGGGAAAGGAATGTTGTCCTCTGTTGAGCAGGCGTTTGTGGGGAGGGAAGAAATACGAGCTCCCCTAAAAACGCCTGCGTGGGAGGCTACTTTTTCCTCTCCCTTATAGACAACCACGTTTCCACGGTTTTCTTCCTTCCGTCCCGTACGCAGATTGTCGGCGGGTGAGTAATTATGTGTATTAAATTTTTCTCATTCAAATAAATAATTAAATAATAATAACAAATAATGATTTGGAGGTAGCATATCCACAAAGTGGTTCTTCGTCTACCTGATTCCTGGTCGAATTGGAATTTGGAAATGCTGGTTTTTGAGGAGAGGGGAAAACCGGAGTATCCGGAGAAAAACCTGTCAGAGCAAAGGAGAGAACCAACAACAAACGCAACCCACATATGGCGTCGACGCCGGGATTTGAACCCGCACCACATTGGTCGGAGGTGAGCGCTCTCACCACTGCGCCATCCCTTGCTCCCCAACCGCTTTCTTGAGTAAAGTTATGCTTAATATAGTAATATTTACCTATCAGCGGGTCTTGACAATCGTATTTCGGTCCGGTATGCTGAGAAGAGTAAGCATCAAATAAGTTGTTGCTTAGCAGATAGTCTCGTTGTCTGATCTGATAAAACATCATCAAGACAATTGGTAGCTTCCACCAATACGGAAGTTTCTGAAGAAGTTCTTTGACAAGTTTGGCAAGCTTTACGAGTAAGGCTTGTCCCGAAGTCATCTTGCTCTGCCAGTGAAGATTACTAAACGTCAACGCAAATACTGTTTTATTACGACAATGTAGTTACCCCGGGGAGTACTCGACTAATATTTGGGTGGAGGTGAGCCGCTGAGAGTTTGAAACCCTGACACTGTTTAGGACAAAACATTCCTACAATACATGTACATACCCTGGTTATGACAACACCCTCAATTGTATTACCCTACACGCCGTCTTGTTTTAAAGCCATTTAATTGCAATTGTAATGGAGCAAATTACGGTTACTCAATTGCTTTTGTATACTTGCAGAACAAACAAAATTCATCTAGGACATCAAATCAGTCGTGCAGGCAATACCCTTTTGACAGAATCATATGAAATTATATACCCTGTTTAGGACAGAGAGCTCAACAACCATACCCTGCCCAGCGGCACATCCCTGTATGGGCCATATAAAGGAGTACCCCCTCCGGGGGTAGTTAGTAGACCATTCTGTCGGCCGTAGTTGTTAATACTTTTGTTCTCGCTGGTTACTTAGCTGTCTAGATGTACTCTACTCATTAAAAGTGGTCATTATTGAAGTCAATTGTGGAATTATTAAAACGTATTAAAGGTGACAAGGGTAACAAAACATATAGATTTTGATGGTGAACTAAAATCAAAAGGAGAACAGTATACCTTAAATATCATGTCGCCTAAAATCAAAGCCCATTATAGAGCTTTTGTTGATCTCTACTAAAGGCGAGAGACACTTTGAGGACTTTCTGTGTGAACAAAACATTTTCACAATAGAACCGAATCTGTGTCAATTACATTTGCTAGAGCCGGCTTGACTTCAGAGCGGGAGATCGCGGGGTTCGATTCCTGGGCCCGAACAAGTACTCAGGGACGGTTGTAAAATAACTGAAAAATGAAGGTACTGCCTTTGCCCTGCACTCGGGTAGACCTTCGCGTTGCTCGGATGACAATGGGGACTTTACGAACCAGAACGCGACGCAGTTTGAAAACACCGAAACCGAGAAGGGCCCGGGGCGAGAACGCCGTCACGAGCGCGGGAAAAACAAAGTTACGGATGCGAACGCGACGACGACAGAGGCAGAGCTGTGCAAATCGTTTAAACTCCGCTAAACACAGTTTCGTTTTATAGCTGGTGTTATACATCGTAAATGGCAACATTCAGAGAGGCAAGGGAAGCTTTATTGTTTGCCTATCAAGATGGAAGCATTGATGATACAGAGTTTGCCCTGTTGTACGATTTAAATTCTTCTGAAAATCTCGAATTTCCTTATTGGAAGTATGGTCGCTTCGATCTTGATTCTATGACAGATGATGAGTGTAAGGCTGAGTTTCAGTTTTTCAGGAACGATATTTATTTACTCGGAGAAGTTCTTGATATTCCAGACATAATGAAATGCCCCAATGGCGTTCTTGTGGACGGAATGGAGGCTTTGAGTGTGCTGTTGAAGCGTTTTGCATACCCGTGTCGATTTGCAGATATGGTTCCTCGATTCAGGAGACCAGTTCCGCAACTTTGCATGATTACAAACCGAATGATGGACTATTTATTCGATGAATATAGCCACCTTCTCGCAAATTTAAATCAGCCATGGCTTTCCAGGGACCGTCTCGGTCATTTTGCTGCCACTATACATGATAAAGGAGCTCCACTCGAGAACTGTTGGGGTTTCATAGACGGAACAGTGAGACCCTTATGTAAGCCAGATGAAAATCAAAGAATTCTCTATAACGGACATAAAAGGGTGCATGGGATAAAGTTTCAGTCCGTAGTTGCGCCAAATGGGCTTATCGCAAGTCTGTTTGGTCCAGTCGAGGGCAGGAGACACGATAGTGGTATGCTAGTCGACTCAGGACTTCTGCAAGAATTATCGCATCACTCGTTTGCACCGGACGGGACACCCTTATGCGTTTATGGCGACTCTGCCTACCCTTTGCGTGTCCATTTACAAGGGCCCTTCAAAGGCGCTCATTTCACACCAGCAGAGCAACAGTTCAACAAGGCCATGAGCCAAGTCAGAGTTTCGGTAGAATGGCTATTTGAGGGATATTGTTAACTACTTTGCATTCCTAGATTTCAAGAAAAACTTAAAAATCGGAATAAGTCCTGTTGGCAAAATGTACATTGTGTGTGCACTCTTGAGAAACGCTCACAGTTGTCTTTATCAATCAAGTACTTCGACGTTTTTTGGAATAGATCCACCCCAAATCCAGGACTATTTCAATTAGGTTTCTGAGGTACAATGTATTCTGCAATTATTACTCATTTTCAAAAGGTTATACAGCCATAGATTTGCACTGTGG